CATGTTGAGCTTCTTATCCACCTGCACCCACAAGACCTTCTCCCCATGCCTTTCCTCAATCCATTCTCCCCTCAGCCTGTGTTTGTGTTTGGGATTGCCCTGACACACGTGCAGGAGTTGCATTTGGCCTTGTAGACATTCATAAGGTTTGCACAGTCCCACCTCTCCAGCCTGTCTGGATGACATCCCTTCCCTCCAGAGTATCAGCCACACCACACAGCTTGGTGTCATTGGCACCACATTCTTGTGGGTGCTCTCAATCCCACTGTTCAAGTCGCCAACAGAGATATTAAGCAGTGCTGGTCCCAAACTTGGTCTCCACTTTGACAGTGAGCTATTGACTGCAACTCTGAGTGCAGCCACCAGCAAATTCCTTATCCAGGGAGCCGTCTGTCTGTCCAATTTGGAGACAAGGATCTCCTGTGGGACAGTGTCAAATGTTCTGCACAAGTCTAGGTAGACTGTCAGTTGCTTTTCCCTTGTCCACCAACACTGTAACACAATCACTGAACCATATTTGTCAGGTGTGGTTTGCTCTAAGTGAAGCCATGTTGGCTCTTGCCAATCACTGTTATTTTCCACGTGCCTTAGCACAGTTTCCAGGAGGGTCTGCTCCATGATTTTGCCAGGCACAGAAGTGAGGCTGGCCAGCCTGTAGTGCCCCAAGTCTGCCTTTTCTCCATTTTTGTAAAGGGGGGTTATATTTCCCCTTTTCCAGTCACTGGGAACTTCCTCAGATGGCCTTGACTTCCCAATGAATGGAGAATGGCTTAGACACTTCCTCTGACAATCCGTTAGGACTCATAGATGCATTTTATCAGTGCCCATGGACTTGTGCACCTTCAGCTTCCTTAGATAGTCTCAAGCCTTTTCCTATAGCAGGTGGTCCTTCATTCTGCCAGTGCCTGCTGCTTTCCCCTTTTATAACTTGGGTGGAGTGTTTGGAGCAGTTCTTTTGGAACACGGAGTCAAAGACATCATTGAGTACCTCAGCTCTCCATATCCACGGAAACCAAGTCTCCTGTTTCCTGCTGGAGAGGGCCCCCAAGCCTCTCTTTTATCTCTTTTCCCCAGCCTTTCTTGTATCACCAATGTACCTACAAAAGCTTTTCTTGTTGCCCTGGACCCCTTGGATTTTTTGTCAAGGAGTCATTTCATGCTGCAATAAAGGTCTGACACCTTGTGGCTGCTAGAGGTGCACCTGCTGCAGTGGTTGCATTCATGTGAGTGGATGTTTTGCCTAGCTGTGGAAAATGTGGTTGCCAGGAGAGTTTGCTACAGATACTAGTGGTCACACATCTAGGTTAAAAATCTCATAGTAAATAGTATATATGACTTGAAGATTATATATCTTCATGAGCTATGGAGGTAGTATTTTCTGTTTCTGCATCCTGATTTCCACAGCTTTTAATAGTATATGTTTTTCTGACAGCACATAGGGCATTTATTGATAGTTAATGACTTGATGGTAAAATATGTTAAAGAAATTTAGCCTGTGAAATCCAGCTCTTGGAGGTTTTTGTAGTTATTCTTGCAGGTTGAAATACCTGCAAAGTGAATAAACTGCAGGAATGAGTTCTGTGGATTCAGCTGGTTTTCAGTTGTGGATTCAATTTGATTTGACAGCCTAAAACCATTCAGGTTTGTATGATTCCAGATCTTGAGATTGGAGAGGTACCGTCTCTGATGCTAATTATTGAAGTTTGTTTTCCTTTTTACATGCTTGGACTCTACCTGAACATCTTTATCAATGCCAACTTAGAAACATGGCAAAACAAAGATCTGGAGAAATGTCGATTTTCTAACTGTCTTCTTCTCTGAAGAAAAAAAAAGAAGTCTAATCCTCAATTTTTAAGAACTATGTACTCTGACTGCTCATCTCCTGTTGAAGGAGAGCTCATATTCTCTTACATGAATTCTACCTGAAGTTTGAAGGTTGAGGGTTTTTCCTTCATATATCATGCTTTATTTTCTTTATAAGTTGCTGACAGGTTAGTGGACCTGGCAGATCCATTTTACCATAGGTCATTCCTCAGACACCCTGCTTAACAAAAGCATGCTTGAGAACATGACCATCTGGCCCAGAGGTTGACTAGTACAAATAACAGTGGAACTCTTCTTTTGAACCAGCATTTGACTAAAAAAACCAAAGAGCTACCTAACATCTGCAAAACTAAAACCTAGTATGTGTGTTCTTCTGTTGATGGAAACATGGTATGTGTAAGTGCTTTTGTATGAAAGGCATGAAATGGTAGAGAGCTTTACATAAATGCATTTAAAAACATAACTAGAAATAGGAACCAAAAGCAGGAGCTGGACGTTTGAATGGGAAATTTGACACTAGAATTTTTTACCAAGTGCAGAAATGGATAATTGAGGGCAGTAATACTTTGCTTTTGATGCCTTCAATGAAAATGGTTAACCAAAATTTAAATAAGGCTTAGAAAAATATGCAGTATTTAATGATGGTAGTCAGATTAGGCAATCCAGTGATCCCTTCTTGCCTTGGGCTAGAATTAGGGAGATATTTCTAGCACTGTGTTCTTGTTGCAGACTTCAGAAAGGACAAAATGAACAAGTGTTCCCTGTGTCTGTTCCTGAGTAAGCACTGGTACAGTTGTTAGCTCTGAGTGCCTGTTGTCTCATCGTCCTTCCTGACCCTGTCAGTTTGCCTCACAGTCAACAAGATCAGTAGTGAAATTCTTGGACCTTGAATACTGGATGACTGTGTTCCTTCAGTGCACGAAGACTATCAAATCTTGCACCAGTATTCCCTTTTTCAGGTGTATTAACAGGCCTGGCTGTAGTTTGCTTTATTAGATCCTTTTGCCATTCTCATTTGTCATAGCTGGATGCAATGTCAAATAGTTGGAGTTTTTTCACTCTATTTTTGTTCTTTTTTCTTTCATCTGTTTCTTTTTTTCCTGGGAGCTTTCTGCTGTTCTGGACATCTGTCTTCTTTTTTCCCCAAGTGCTTAGTTTTCAATCACTGGACTCCATCTCCTATTTTGTTGTGTTACTTTGCATCAATTTCTCTGGCTACCCATTATGTCTTTCACCAGTTTTCCCATGCTTTTCTCTTCACTCTGCATTGTTGTTGGATCTGTTTTTCTTTGCTTTCTTCTCTCTCAGTACCTCAGTCCTTTATTATGCATTAGACAAACAAGTAGTTTTTTGTTTGGTTCTCCTTGGTATTTGTGGAATTTGGTGCAGGATTTTCTTGTAAGGTGTGCATGACAATCAAGTCTCACATTCTGGTTGATCTCCCTATTAATTGGTTTGGCAGAGGTCAGGCTGCTGTAGCAGTAGCACTAATGAACACTAAAGTATACCACATGTTATTAAGAAATAACTGTCACTTTGAAGTTAAGGGTCAACAGTTTGGCCATTGCCTCAGTGAAGCCTTCCACAGGCAGGTTATGCTGAGGCCAAGGGAATGAAAATGGATCCCTGGCTTGTTTCAACACACTCTGGTTCTTGGGACAGGTATTAATTTAAGGGTCTGTATTGTTTTCACTTCTGAAATGGATTGTCTGCATTGCTCTTATTAATAAGCATTTTTAAGATTCTGCAGTATTTGATGGATAGATTAACTTAAAAAATAAAGGGAAAAAAAAGAGCAGGCAAAATGATGTTGTAAGTAGTTCAATTGCTTGATTAATTTTACCTTTTATAGAACAAGTTATGCCAATCTTGCAAGATCGGTCTTGCAGTGTTTTTTGGCTTTGCTGGGTTATCCCTTTGAGTTAGATCCACAGAAAAGTAGAAGGAGGCTCTTCTACCCTCACAATTAAATGCACTGTTCTGGTAATTATTTTCATAATTTTGTGTATGTAAATTAAAATTTCACTTTTCCAGCCAAACTGATCTAACACTAGCATTTCCCAAATGGACAGTTTCATCCCTTTTTCCTTATATGGTGATCCAAGCACTTTACTGATGCTGCAGCTGATTTATGGAAGATTTTGTGATACTGGTTTTTTTTTTGTCCAAGGTAATTCTTCTTGATAGCTTTATATTCCCTTTTTTTTATGCTAGCCTTTCAAGCTCTGAAAGTTTTAAAATTTTTAATTTTCTTAGATGTCTAAACTTGTTTATAAGACTCGATAATTGCAAAGTTGGAACTTTTTGGCTTACTTCTTTGCAAATCTAGCTCTTCCTAAATCTCGTTTTCCAGACTGAAGGATTGTACTGAAAGATAGACTGAAATATTGTACTCATCTCTAGCCCTACAAACATGGAGGAGGGCTGCTGAGTGCATAGTGCATGTGCAGCTTCTCAAGTATAACTCAAACACAAGGTGCACCAGTTTGTTGAACTCTGAGGAATTCTCTGTTTTATCACACACACTCCCCCTGTGTATGTATATTTTTGTTATTCAGGACACTGAGATAGTTGTGGAATCTTGAAGGACAATGGAAATACACACTCATTCTAGACACTGATCCTGCTCTTGTAGACTAGATGCTGATGTGCTTATTTAGAAAATAGCATTCTGCTAATATTTGATTCAGAGCTTTAAGATGAAAGTACATGTAGTCTTAAATTATGCAAAAAAGACTGGTTCCTCTTTAATATGTAATACATCCGGTTTGAATTTTAGACCTGCACATACTGATTTAGGACTTACTTCCTTTTCATTAATGCGTGACAATGGGGAAGGAAAAGCATCTGGTCAGCTAGTGAACTGCTGCAGCAAAGGGTCTTTTCCTTCTGATGTACTAAAATATGGTACAAGTACTAGATTGAAAGCCATCTGAAGGGGAAACAAATAGCTTTCAGACATTAATTGTGTTGTTTGCCTTAAAACACTCCCTTTTACTTCTGGATATCAAGTCCTTATAAACATCTATTACCAGGGACTGGTAGAAACAATATGTGTAACAGATATAAACAGCTTAGGGATTCATTGTTGGTAAAAGCATCATAGAACATAACATTTTCATAATAGTCAATATAAATGTGGTTGGAAAAAGCCCCAATGATTTCTCTTTTTACAGAAAAACCTGCCATTGCTCCACCTGTCTTTGTATTTCAGAAGGATAAAGCACAGAAGGTAAGGAGATACTGATACTTTTTTTTGGTTTTGTTCTTAGCCCTGACTCCTTCCTTCTATGGTGATCAGCCCTTTGTCTATATTGCTGTGAAGCCGAAGATGGCTAGTAGACCATTAACATCATTAATGGGCATAGGGCAAACAGGTACTGAAGGGCTAAAAGTGGGAAGATGTATGGTGGTTTCACAATACAGGTTGCTGTTCAGACAGAAGATGGACCAATGTGGAAGAAAGTGTGGTGAAGGTGTGTCTTGAATATGTGGCAGAGGAGTGCTGACACTTGAGTTGCATGACAAAGCTACAAAATTTGTTTTTCTGATAATAGGGTTGAGATAAACCAAAGAAAACTGGTCTGGATTATTGTTTTTTACTTCAGTGTATTTAAATGTCTCTCATATCTTTGGTTAGTATGCTGTGAAGTGTCTAGTTACCTTGGGAAATAGTAATTCTGTTCCATTATCTCAATAGGGTGTTTAATTCTGTCTGGTTAATAGTAAAAGCTATTAAGATTTATGGTGGGGAAAAAAAAAAAATCAGTTACTCTTGTTTCTGTTGAAGATGGTGGGAACCAAGAGACGTTCCTGTTGAATCACTGGATTGTTTTGTTATCTGTGGAGTCAGAAATGTTTGAATTGAAATACTGAACCATTTTTCAGTTGATAGCTTTTCTTTGGTTTGGAAAAAGTACCAGACTCAAGCTTTCTCACAGGTTCAGTAGGCATATTCCTCAGCAGGAGCTAGAAATCATTTCTCAGCCTGTACAGGTTTTAAGTCTGCTGTCCTCCTAATATTAGCTAATCAAATTAAATCTATCAGAGTAAGTACTTTCAAGACATTATTTTAATTACATTTTTACAGTGGCTGTTTACGTATACATTGGAATGAAGGGAGTGGTAGTGTTTGCGCTACCAATTTTGATCATGTTTCCTTTTAGGAAGCAGCTTCCAGTCAACCACTGTTGCTTAGACTGTTCTGAAGTTACATCATGGTGAGTGTTCTCTCCAGGTGTCCTTTACCCTGGTGGTGATCATAGCGGTGTGCAATCCAGGCAGAGTGACATGGTCCTGTGTCCTTTTTTGCTGGACTAGTCTTTACATGCCAATACCATACAGATAGCAGTTCTTGTACTCAGAAGTTCCTTCATGTTGTACATTTGCTTCTGCCCTCCTCCAGAGGCCTGCACACTGCATGCCTTCAGCATTAAGCTGTGCAAGGCCCTCCATTGGGCTGTGGGACAGCTCTGTTTCACTCTGATTGGTCTCAACAAAATATTTGTAAAAATATATTAATAAAAGGCATAATGTATTCTGGGGCTGGCAGAGAGGATCTAGGGAGGGAGATCTGTGATTTAATCTGCCCAGCTGCCTCTGAGGATGCTGAGGTGGTGCTGAGCAGGTAACTGTATTCAGGACCGCCTCTGCCTCAGCACAGACAAAGTCTGGCTTTGTTTGGTGAAGGGTCTTTGGGTTCCTGAGCATCTTGAAGGCACATGATTTAGAGATAAGTTGATCTAAATACCAAGTGGTGGTGGTGCTGTCGTGCTGTTGCTTTGGGCATAGACTAAGTCTGTCTTGGGTGGAGAATAGGGCCTGTTCCTTGAAACAGATCAGAGCGTCTAGTAGTAGCATCTGTCAGTTAGTTGCCAGTTTTCTAAGTAGTAACAGATATGAATGCTTGTGCTAAACTATGTATTGCATGGAGATGTCGGATTTTTTTAAAAGGGGAAGGGGGGAGTGATTAATAATTTTAGTAGCTTTTATTGTGGTGTATTTGACACTGCAGAGAGGGACTTGCAGAAGCATCAGTGCTGTGCTTTTGCAGTTTGATTAAATTAAGGGCTTTTTGGTCATGCCACTAGTTGTCTTTTGTAGTATAGATACAATAGCAGTATAGTCAGTACATGATGCTGTGAGCACAAAGTTACAGCCATTTAATCCATACTGTATATATCAGAATATAGCATTCCGGCTAGCTTTAATCAATTTAATTAAGGAAAAGTGCCTCAGGTTACATACTGGTTGAGATCTTTCACTGCATTTTCAGAAAGACTTAATAGCTAAGTGTTCCAGAGAAGGGTAAACTCTGTTACTGTTTCTGTAAAAAGTGCTTGATTAAGTGCATTGCCTACCACAAAAGACTTATGTCCTTATTAAAGTTAACAGGAAAGTCCTGTAAACAGAGGAGTTTTTCCTAGAGCAGTGTTTTGAAGAGAATGCAAAAGTAACTTCAAAATTGTTAAATAACACACTACTTTAATATGTAGTTTCTTAATATAAATTACAATTTTACGTTTTGCGAAATGTCTGTCAAGTCAGTCACTTTTTTCTGTAAGCAGAATTGTTAGTGGAGGCTTTTTAGTGCTGACAGCAGTCTGACAATAAGCTGAGGGGAGAGAAAGCATTGCGTTGTGTATTCAGTTAACTGTCTGTGATGATTGTTCATATGCTTGCCTAGTGGTTTTCCACATGAACCTGGACATCCTGAGCAGATTTCATTGCATCATCTACAGATCCTCTTAGTATTACAGCTGGGTTGATATAATTCAGTGGCATTACTGACTTTTGTGGAGCTAACAGTAGAGTCTGCTATTAAGTTAAACAATGTTCTTTTTCTAGAAATCTTGACTTAAGTTTGTGCTTGGAAGGCGCCTGACATTTGGGTCATACCAACACCATAAAACACTTGAGGCTTGGAGCAGAGGGGCTGGAAAGCTGCCTGGTGGAGAAGGACCTGGTGGTCCTGGTCAACAGTGGCTGAACATGAGCCCAGGTGTACCCAGGTTGCCAAGACGGCCAGTGGCACCTGGCCTGTACCACAGTGTGGCCAGCAGGACCAGGGCAGTGGCTGTCCTGTATTAGGAACTGCTGTGGCATTTCAAATCCTGGGTTCAGTTTCATGACAAGAAAGTCACTGAAGGGCTGGAGCATGTCCAGAGAAAGGCAGCAGAGCTGGGGAAGAATCTGGAGCACAAGGCTGATACAGAGCAGCTGAGGGAGCTGCGGGCGGCTCAGCCTGGTGAAAAGGAGGCTCAGGAGAGACCTTCTCACTCTCTACAACTCCCTGAAAGGAGGGTGGAGCCAGGTGGGGGTCAGGCTCTGCTAGTAGGGAACAAGAGATAGGATGAGAGGAAATGACCTCAAGTTGTGCTAGGTGTTTTAGGTTGGATATTGGGAATTTCTTCACTGAAAGGGCTGTTCAGCCCTGTCACAGCCGCCCAGAACAGCGGTGGAATTCCCATCCCTACAGGGATTTAAAAGCTGTGTGGATGTGGCACTTGGGGACATGGATTAGTGGTGGACATGGCAGTGCTTAGGGAATGGCAGGACTCTGATCTTGGAAGAGTTTTCCAACCTGAACAATTCTATGATTTTATTATTTTTTTTCTCCACTGGAAATTGGAAAATGTTCACAATGTTCTAGGACAAAGTTCATACTAGTCTAGAAACTAATTTTTTAACTGCATTTTCCAGCTAAGGATGTATATGCTTGAATAAAACATCAGAACTTGCAATTTGACATGTTTATTTGGAGGGGACAAAAAGTTCATGGTGTTCATAATACTGCTCCTTAATTTTACTTTCCTTAAGGAGGTTTGAGTTTTCTTTTGCAGTTAAAGACAGGATTAGTCTGTCCTTGTTTTAAATTTAGATGTGAATTAATGGTGGATGTCAAGTTGGTAGTTACTAAATATGAGTGAGTCTGCATTTTCATGATTTTCCTGTGTCCTTAGTGTCACAATGAGGGTGTCTGTGACAAACCTTTAGGTCCCCTGATTTCAGGGCAGAGGGTGGTGAGAGAATAGGAGCAGGAGCAATCATTGACACCAAGAAAATAACACTTTAATGAGGAATAAAAGAAAATGGGGACAATGCCCAAAAGCCAAACAACAATAACCAGGGAGAGCTCCGTGGGGGTGACCAACCAAAGACGAGAACAAAGGAAGGCACAACAGTATATAACTTTAGGGGGGACCCTTAAGGGGACAAACATTCTAGTAGCCTAGCCATATAGGGAGCAACATTACCCAGTCTGTAACTGACATGTAATTTATCTAACATAACAGCAGAGGGGTATCTTGGGAAAGGCTTTTAACTCAAATGAGAGATTCCCACGGCTTCAGATAGGTGGGTCTTCAGAGGCAATGGTCAGCTGGTTTGGGTCCCCAGCCAGGCTGAATTCCACAACTTAGCTGTTTGAGAACTGTTTTTACATGTGTGGAATATAATCTTGCAAATATCTGAATAGTAGCACTGCTATTTGTGTTTCTGACAAGCAGAGTTTCTAGTGCTGACACCACTTGGAAATTTGCATCAGTTTAAGGCTCAAGCTGTTGAGATCTGAAAGCAATATGAAGTCTGAACCTCACTATGTTAGGCATAGAGTATTTCTGTTACTCCATTATCTATCCAAATAACTTATTTATGAGCTAAGATGTGCTTTTCATAGCACTTTCTGAATTAAATATTTTAAATTGATGGATACAACTTATATCTGTGCTTAATATTAGACACTTGTTTGTTGTTTATACTCTGAAACTGATTTTAGCTTCTGCCATAAAACCATTTTGTGACAAGTTTCTGGCCATAGGTTACTTTAAAGTAATTTTTCACTTCTAACATGCATTTCTAAGGTGAAATTATTCTGTTGTTTTTGGATTGACATATTTTTAAGCAAGTATGCTAGCTCAAATAAATTCAATTGCTAGTAGTGTAAAGAAACACTTAATCCAAAAATGTTTCTAAAGTAGTGTCAATTGTTCTGCAAGTGTGAACTGTGGTAATCTGGATGTTACTGATTGTCATCATATAGGATTGTTGTGACCTCCCTTGTCACGAGTATAGGAAAAGGTAGACTCTCTACTTGGATTAAAAAAATTTTTGCACTTGAAAAGGCCATTGTTTATGATGTAAGCTTGCGCCTTGTTCTCTTCCCTCCACCAGCCTATGTTGGGGTATTGGTAGAATATAGAAAAGAGCACTTTATTTCTAGTTGGTTGTATAACTAGTTTTGTTAGTGTACTGCTTTCCATATGTGAATTGATAGTGGTGGTCTTTTAAGATTGACTCTGAAAGAAGTCAAAGAAGTTATGTGATACTTGGGTCATGTTCTATGCTGAAGCGGTACAAAGAGTTTAAGGGGTAACTGGGTCCTAAATGCAAAGGTTCTGGAGTGAGTAAGGGGTTATGTTGTTAAATTGTTACAGTTGTCATCGTGGTCTTAACTATGGAGTTTTAAAACTAGGTATGGAGTTGTAAAAATGATGTAGGTGATAAGAAGATGGCATTCCCAGGTAATCTATAGCGCAAAATAATGAGTTAATATTTTTTTAATTTATTTTTTTTTTAGATATGTGAAGTTGGGGTTAGTTGAAGCCCAGCTTTGATGCAGTGTTGTATGGGTTTTAGTGGTTTGGGGAGGCGGATGACTAGAAAAGGTTCTTCATACTGTGGCCATGACGTATGGGTTTAGGATAGTGACAGAGAGAGAACTGTGAATGAAGTAATTTGTGTATGGAGAGGCAAAATATTCCCTTTCCCAGTCTGACTCAGCATAGCTGCAAAGAGGCTTTGTTGGGATACCCAGCAGAACTGTATTGTAAGTCCATAGTATACTTAAGGAGTTAAAATTTATGCTTTAAAGTTCATAATTATGAAGATATTGCTGTACTTAAGAGAACAGTCATGAAGGTATTTGGAAAGACAGTTGTGCAAGAGAAGGCTTGGCAGAATATAGAGAGACTGATAAAGTCAAAAGCTGTTAGGCATATGGCAAGAGTTGTCCTTGGCTCTAAGCAGGTAAAAAATGTGAAAAGATATACTCAGTGTAGTCTTTTTAGGCCATTGGATAGAGGTGCTAGAGTGAGGAAAATGAGGAAAGGAGCTGCAAATAGCTCAATTCAGAATTAGGAGGAAAAGCTGGTCCAAGAGTGCTTGTGCCAGGCTTTATTGAAAAAGGATATTATTTCCTTGCCTATATTTGGTGACCGTAGTATCACATGAGTCTTAGCTTTTAAGTATTCCTTCATGTCTCTTCTTATTCTCTACATTGCAGAAGAAGCCAAATTTCCGGATAGACTTAGATGTAGTTAGTCTGGGTGTGTTGTTTTTAGTTTTAATGAAATAAGAGTTGTTTGATCTGGCTGAGCAAGGTGAATCTGTGTAGGTGGCTTCCTACTGTTACCAATCTCTCTTGATCATTGCTGTGGTCTTTAAGAGACAGGAACAGGTTTCAAGTGTCAAGTTCTCCCTAGAACTGTATTTTATAAGGAATGTTTTCTCTAGAGAGGAGGAGGCTCAAGGAGGGACACATTCCTCAGACAAAATATTCCAGCAAAAAGGAAGAGAGTGAACTGTTCACCAGCTCCAAGGAACTTCAAGAAAGAGCTTAGATCAGAATTCATGAAGTTAAGGGACTAGGAAACACTTTCAATAGTATGCATGACTAAGGATTAAAATTAATTTTAATATTTTGCAGTTTTCTTTGGATATGCTTTTTTGAGAACAGCTGTACAAACTTCTGCCTGGAGCAGTTCTGGTTTGATGAATCCTTGAGTCCTTTGTTGGTCTTGTCTTCCATGACTCAAACCGTGTACTGTTCACAAAATTCTGAAACTTACAGTAGTTTCTGATTAGTTTTTTTTTATCTTTATGTATTTTTATGTATTTATATATTAGACATGAAATTCTTATCTTGGATTCAGATTTTTCTTCATAGAAGTGGTGATTTGCAATAATTACTTTTGTTTGTTTCTTTTGTGGGTCTTGAAGCAGATATTCCAGTCTTGCTTAGGCTAGAAATCAGATTTATGCTTATTTCCACTTTTTGAAATGCTTGGCACTAAGCATTTCAAGTATTAGAAGAGTTATTAAAATCTGTTGGATGTTTACTTAGTCTTACTTAGATATTCTGAACTGTGTTGATATGAATTGCTTGCAAAATATTTTGTCATTTCCAATTTTAAGTGCTTAGCACAAGTGTGTATTGAATGTTCTTGCTTCCTCTTCCTTATTACCAATTTTCTGAACTGTACCTAGAAGTCAGTGTAGATTTCCGGTAAGGCGCCTTTTTTTTTTTTTTTTTTTTTTTTTTTAAATACCTACTGTAAGTGCTACGGCCAGTTCCAGGTAGCCTTTCCTGCTATTCTCCCCAGATGAAGAAGTAAAGATAGGGTGCTAGACAGCTAGATTTTATTAAATATTTGGTGAAAAAATGTTTGGTTAACTCTTCTCATTTTGTCGGGTTTTAAGTTAGCGTTTGGGTCTGTTATTAACAACTAAATATTAAAATGTTAGTTAACTTCGGCAGTGCAAAAACCCAGCATCCTGAACTTTTATCTGACATCCATCATATTATCTCCATAAATACATTTTTGTTATTTTGAGCCTTTATTATAGTAATATCTTGCATGATAAAATTTCGTGTATTGCTGGCTTTTGTTACCACAACAGGACAACTGTTACTTAAACTTGGCTCTTAAGATGTTAAGTGCTGCTGTTTATTTTTGAAGCTTTTGCTTACTTTCTAGCCATGGACCTGGGCAGTTATTAGTTGAGCATTTTTAGTCTCTTTTTTCTGACAACTGTTTTCTGGAAGCAAGCCAAGGTTGTGTGCTTTTGAGTGCCATCTTTCCCTTACTGCTTAATTCTTCAGATCCTTCACCATAAGCTGAAGCTCAGCTCACAGATTGCAAGTGGAAGCACATCCTTGGCCTGCATGTTATCCATGGACTACAACTTAATCCTTAATCACAATATAGTTGTTTGTGCTCAAAGCCTTTTTAACTTTTTCATTCTTCATATGTGTACAGAATATGATAGTGCTAACTTTTATTGTACAAGCAGAGATGTGCAGCATTAAATGATGTGAAGTAATGAAATGTCGGTGGCAGAAGTCCAGCAAATACCAAATCCCATTAGGGTGCACTAGTTGTCCTGTCACCTCCCTCCTTGAAATAGATTGAAACTTGCTAGTTTATGAAAAAAAACATTGGTGTTGCGTTTCAGATAATTCACTGTCATGTGAATATGGAAGAATCCTGTGTCTTGTGTGAAAATTAAAATAATTTCTGTGAGAATTTTATAACCAACCTCATCTCCCTCAAAAGAGGGAGTGGGCTGAAGAGGCAGTGGAAGACACTTTAGAGTAATTGTCTGTGAAAAACAAAGTTCACTCTGTAAAATTTTTAAGTTTAATAAAGAATAAAAGGGATCAAATCTAGTGCTGGGGTGCTTGGCTATCTGTCAAAAGCACACCCTCAGTTTAAAACAATGTTCTTTAGATACTGTTGCATTACAGGAGGTACATGCATATTTATAAGAGTTTATACTTATTCAAACATTTGAGTTTAGATGTTCTTTTTCTATTCAAACATTTGAGTTTAGATGTTCTTTTTCTTGGTTTTAACCTTTGACTTAATGCCATCTTGTAAATTAAACCAATATATTTTATTTCTTCTCCTGGTTCTGTCTTGTTGTTTTTACACTCCCTGATAAGGAGTTGTCAGGAAATTGGGTTCTGGTTTTTGCTACTGTTATCAGTCAGATAGTCTACAAATGCAAGAAACTCCCTAATTATCTTACAATGTTCTCTGAGTTAGTTACATAAAAACATTTTACCATCACATAATCTCTATATTAATATTAGACTATGGCCTAAGAGATCATACATTTATTAAATTACTATTTTCTATTTATATGAACCATAGAGTCCACACATAAACTCACAGATTGTACAATACCAAAAAGCAGTTAAAAGGAAATATAAATTATATAAAAATTTTTGTGATTAATAATATGTGAAAGCTAATACATAAATGTGAAAGCCAATACTATATTGTTATTTGTAACAGTCTAATTTTTTATCTGAATCTGCACATAAAAACTATCAGCTGTTCTTTAGTCCTTGAGTGAAGGGAAGGGAGGAAACCCCAACAAGCCTGTAGCTGGCAGAATCCTCTTTGCTGGGGACACAGATGATTTTGGTAACTTTCAAAATAGTGCATTTGTTCTAACTGAGGCTTTTCACAGGCAGGGGAAACTAATTCTGTCAGCAGGTTCTGTTACAGAATTTCTGTGTATTTTGATTTGTGCCTTGGCAACAAGCAGCTCCTTCTGCCACACTGTGAAAACAGTGAAATTTAAAAATGGATCCTCTCACTAGGACGACTGATCTCTCATGTTGAAGCGTTGCATTGAAGGGACGTTGTCTTTTCTGCTCACAGTCCCCTGGAGAGCAGAAAGCTTTGTCGGATTCAGGAGAGGACCCCCAGGGAGAGGTTGAGCCCCCTTACCATGGTCTGGGTCACACAGAACCAGCTGGTGAGTGTGACTTTGAACACCCTACTCCTGCTGTGGCCTCAGTCATTGCTACCCTGAGTCCTGCTTCTGAAGCCCAGCTTGCTCCTATTCACCAAGAACTGGCAGGGGTAAGTGTCATCCTACCAAGTGCTTCTGCTGCTGGGGGGATTAACAAAGTACCTTCCACCATGTGGAATCCATTACTGTTCACTGTAGGTAGTGCAAATGACAGTCTGTCTGGTTCTTTCATCTCAAGTGTTAGTCCTCTCTCTCTAAACCCTCATTCCAATTAGAAGAAATGGAATTTGTGAGTCTCCCTAGTAGCATAACTGTAGAGACACCTCAAGTATTTTAAAACTGAAGGTGTAAACTGTGTGTTTGCCTAAGGGTAAGAGCACTTCTAAATAAGGGTCCATATTTGAGGGATTTGCTTCAAGCAGTTAGAGAACTCCTTGTTCCCCCTATGGGCCATAATGTTGCAGCTTGACAAAGTGAGCAGCTAATACTGCTTTTACTGGATATGTCATGCCAACAGCATCATAGCAGAGTTTTAAATTTGGGTGTTTGGAGTGGGGAGAAAGTATGTTGTGGAAAAGCTCTCAGTGCTCATAATTTGATTTTTCTATTGATGATGTTGCAAAATTTTTTCTGAAAGATCGGATGACTAAATGACAGCTACCATACAGTCTTTCAGAACAACTCTAAGTGTTCCTAATCTTTCTGGTTGGTGAACCATGTTTTCTTGGTGCAGGTAGGTGTTGCTGTGTATTCTGGCATCACACCCTCGGCATGTGCTCTTTGCTAGATCTTTGTTAAGACCGCTTCTTCTCCCAGTACCTGCACTCTTTTCTTTCACTGGTTGATTTGGGGTTTTCTTTGTACAAGAATAAGGTCCATTTCAAGTAAACCCAGTACTGAATGGATTGTTATGACAAGGTGCTAATAGCTGTAGGTTAAGCTGTAGGTTAAGCACCTCTCAGTGTTCAGACTGGTACTTGATTACCTGCTGAAATCTTTTAGTTTCTTTTCTGAAGGATAAGATTTTCAAGGCGTAATATTTTAAAATATAGCTGGTAAACATGTGTGGATGATCACACTATAAAAAAATAGTGTCCATGAAGGAGACACAGGAGTCCTGCAACTTTATTCAAATAAAGGGAGAGAGTCTACTAGGCCACACGCCCCCAGCAGGTTTTCACTTTTGAGGCTTCAGAGGGTGCAGCCTCCTTTTATCCTGCACCGTACCTTGCTCTCTTCCTTATCCCATTGGTTGAGGTACTAGGAAGGTGCAGTCTTCCTGAACCGCCTACCCTGTATCCCTCCTTGAACCTCGCATTTTACCCCGAAGTTCAGGCTTGTTCAGAGTCACCCGCTTGTCTGTTTGTGGAGTCAGGCTGCCTGGGCTCTGTTACAAAACTGCTGCTTGAAGTTAGTAGAGGCCTTAAGACCTATTTCAAAGATGTTAACACCCATACCTTCTATGGTGTTATTGCACATCGTTCCCATCAAACATGATCACAGTCTTTTATCTCAGTTTTCTGTCATAAGAAATTGCAGTGTTACTAGAACTGTCCAAGAGAATGGTGGTAACCACACTTTCAGGAACACAGCAGCAACCCTAACCCTAATCTTCATTTTGTTTTTAGAGAGCAGAAAATCTTACCCCAGTTAACTCAGTTCTGAAAGAAATTTAAAACCCACAAATGTTGTTGGGGATCATATGCAGAAATCAGTGGCTGTACAGAACAGCTGTTTCAGTATTCTTCTTGATTCCATTAAATTAAATGTACCAAATTGCGTGTTGCTCAGTATGGACATATAACTGGCATGCACTAGCAAGTACTCTTCAAATTATCCCAGTGTCTTGTAGTAAAACCATCCCTTACCTCGAAATCTAGAGAAGGTTGATGCATCTTAAGAGTACTTGTACTGGTTTGTTGGAGCAGCAGTTTTCATGCAGTCTTCCCACGTCCTGTGAAAATGGATGAGTTAAGACAGAAGAAGAGACACTGCATATTTCTTGTTTACTTGTTTATACACACACTGGCATATATTTTTGACATGACATGAATTTAGTGTGGCCATAGGTACAGCCCCTTGCAGAGCTGATGGTTATGTCCTAACTCTTTGGCAACCCACACCAGCCTCCCACAGCATGTGGCTGTCCCAGCAAAACTCTGCTGATTAAGAGGTTCTGGAAGAGCTTTTAAGCAAATCATGCAGTTCAATAATGTCTGTGTATGTGCAGAGTGTCTGGACTGAAGACTTGCTTTAGTGTGCTCTGAAATCCTTTATACATGACTTTTTGCATCTTAAAATGCAATTTCAAAGATAAACACTAGAAGCATACTCTTAGATCTTTCCCTGAATTACACTGACCTTTTCTGCTTTACCAAAATTCCCCCTTCCTGTCCCTGTTTCTGCTCACTAATGTGAATAAGCAAAAACGGACAAATTTGTTGAAGTTTCGAAGTTCTTCTCTTAGCTTGATGTAACCATTATGTGAGGAATTAATGTTTCTGTTTAGTTAATTACTGTGACAGACTTTTAAAAAGCAGTTGGTAGCCTTTAGGAAGCTAATTTCCTTAACTAAAAATGTGTCATAACTGTAAGAACCTCTGTTTATGCATAAATGTAACTTTTCTCTAGCTGGATTTCTGAAAAGCAGGGGCAGAGGGAATAAGTGAAAAGTTGCTTCTGCTCTTAAATGAGAAAATTCTGAGTTGGATTTTGCTGTTACCAGTTTGTATTTCATCAGCATCTAAGTCCAAAGACCTGAATGGAGATAAATTTAAGTACCTTGGTGGTTTCTTACAGGATGAGATGGTCCTGCCTTTTGTTTCCATTGTGTGGGGTACTTGTGTAAAGCAGGTGTTGCTGTAAAGTACACTGAGTAGGTTGAGAAGTGTAAAATGGTAAGGCCTACTGCTGTTCATTGTCACTAAATGTAATCTGCTGTTTTTCCAGTCTGTCAGGCTTGTCATGCATATATACCCCTGTTTTCTGTCTAGTCTACCCAGCTTCCTTTGAAGCAGCACTGGTATGCAATTCTGGCTGCAGTGGTGACTTACTTTATCTGTGGCTTCATAGGAAAGTGAAGCTTAGGGTAATACAGTAGATCTGTGTACCCCCACCCCCTTGGAATCTACCTGGCATCTATTTGTCCAAAGGTACATATCTTTAATCTCTGAAAACTCTTGGGCTAGGAAGCATGAAAATAACTCTGAGCAGACTTTCTGTTCTGCTTTGCACTCAGTAGGGTACAGAGTTGGTTTTGGTTATTGATGCCTGTTACCCACTAAACATGGTTATGGTACAGTAGTTGTGCTTGTCAGTTATGAAATTACAATGGTAAGATGATTTGAGGCTTGCACTATATAGGTTTGATTTTTTTGTATGTGTTACTTGAGCATTGAGAATGAGGCATATGTTAGTAATATCTTAAGTTTTTGACATTCAGGTGGAAATCACTTGTTTATTTTTAAGGATTTTTGCATATAGAGATCTGCAGTTCCACTCATGCAAATTTTTTACCAAGTGTTTTATTTTTGCTTTCAGGATTTTTGATAAAAGTGGAAACAAATTGTTTGTATGGGTGACAACACTTCATGTGCAGAATGCAATCTTTTATGAGTTCAGTTGCTGAGATACATGATAGCATGGTTTTCCATTCTAGCCTCATCTTTTGAGAAAGTATTGTGTATTGACAAGGGCGGTGACTAATAAGACCACCTTCTTGGTGTACCAAGTCCATGGTAGTACCATGCCTAATTTTGGCAGGTAGTACCTGCCTAATTTTGTAGGAAGAGCCGTGGATCATCAAATGCAGCATTAACATGGCTGGGCCGATAGGTGTGTGTGAATGCAGGGAGTTGTGTTCCAGACCTATCAGTAGCTTCTTATTTCCAATGCTAAAGGTTTCAGAGATACTCAACTAGGGTGCTAGTAAGGTAGCTGTACTTTTCTGTGAACATAAAACACAACAGAAAAGCTCTTAAAGGTAATTAAATAGGCAAGTGCAGTATAAGTGGGTTTTTATTAGCATTGAATGGTGTGCTTGTGGATGCTAAATGCAAGCAGGGAGCACAGTGTCTGCGTGAAACTAAGTCACACAAGGTTCTCACTCTGGCCTGAGAAAGCATAAGGAGGAATCCAAACAGTCCTTGGAGAAAGACAACAACCTTTTGCAGGTGTTGTTTAGATCCTTGTTGTTTACTTCCAAGAAACAGTCAAGGGGTGGTGTTCCACTTGACCAATGATGGTGATGTATAAGTTTAATGACCAATGAGAGTTTTGCTTCTCGGACTTTCTTGGACCTGTCTATAAATGAAGATCAAGGATAATAAAATTTGCTCTCTTGGACAGCCCAGCCAGAGAGTTAGTGTGTCATACTTCTTGCCGTTCCTAATATAATGCGACAAAGTACTGATAGTATAGTAATTTCTGGGTTCTAAATGTATGCAATGCGAAATAGAAAGTTTTGTACTTTCTGGTATTCTTACACCCAAGGTATGCCTCAAATACCAGTCCTGTGCAGATGTGTACAGTCCTTGTGTGTCTGCCTGCTCTCAGTGCCCTAGTGGGCTGAATCCCTGCTGAATGGCAGGGAAGGCGTTTTGGGGTATCAGTAGGCTCTGCCCATGAGCTGCCATTCCTCCATATATCAGCCAATATCTGAAGTGAGATTGAGTGAACGGGAGGTGTCTGTCTGCATGTCCTGGGGCAGGAGTGGGATGAAAGGGTAGTGTTGGACTAGGTAGATGGTCCAATATGTCAGAGCTGTCTGAAAGAATGGTATAGCCAAGGTGCGGGTTGGTCTGTTCTTCCAGGTAACAAGGTACAGGACAAGAGGAAATGGCCTCAAGTTGAATATTTAGATTGGATATTAGTAGAAGCATGTTCCACAAAAGGTTTGTGCAGCCCTGGAACAGGCTGCCCACGTCAGTGGTGGAGCCCTCATCCCTGCATGGATTTGTAACATGGGTGGATATGGCACTTGCGGACATGTTTTGGCATTGGGCATGGCAAAAGAGTTCTGAGGGATCTCTTAGACTTGGTGATCTTAAAGGTTCTTGCTAACCTAAGCAATTCAATTATTCTAAGATGTTTTGTAATGCTGATGCAGCCCTGATCATCTTCCATAGTGAAAGGAGTCTGTCACGGGTTTTGTGGGAGGAGCAAGGGAGATTATATTGGTTGAGGAACTGGCAGAGAAATAGGAGGAAAGAGCCATAGAAATCTTCAGAAGATATGTAAAACCTTTGTTTGAAGACTTTTTTAATATCTATGATACTTGGTAGCCTGTGATGCTTCCTTTTTTGTTCTTGGTACTGTGGAAGATGTTAGGGGACTATCCAATGCTAATTGCAATAAAAATACTGTTGTACTAGTTTATAGAGCATGCTCTGAAAGACATTCCTCCAATGCTATGATTTCGTTGAAGGAACTAAAGTCACTGAGAGTTTAAGTGAACTCCCACATAATGGGTATATTTATGTTGAGCTTGAAACTTTATATTTTAAAAATTAAACCACTTTAAAAAAAGTTCAATTTTTCAGTATATAGAAAATGTAACTGTAGTAATTGTTACACAGTCCCTAAAGATATTTGTGCTTGGGATATGAATTTTCAGGAATCTTACTTAAAAATGAAATATTTTGAATTAATTGTATTTGATAGTATCTGTGTGAAGCTCTATGCCCACACGTAAGTCACAGAAGATTATTGCATTGAGTGTGTATCATTGACAGTAAAGAAAAATCTCCTAACTGATACTTAAAACATTTGAATCAAACTGAAGAGACTGAAATGTTCACTATGTGATCTTTGTTTGATCAGTGTAATCTGATTTCAGAGATCTGGAGATGGATCAAGTCCAGAAGATGGAGATGGTAAGAGATTTTATTGTAAAATTAAAAGCCATGAGTGTGTGTCTTGCTGGGATGTTCTGTGTTTTCTCTAATAATTGTTTTTCTATAGAATCTGATCGAGAGGATGGAAGTTACTGTCCACCTGTAAAACGTGAGAGAACTTCATCTTTGACTCAGTTCCCTCCTTCTCAGTCAGGTAAATGTTTCTACAGTATTATATATGAGGGATTGTTTTCCTTCCTAGATATTCTTTTTCCAGTCATGTAAGCAGTCTTATTACTGTTTGCTGTGCTTTGGGTTAAGACCACAGCAACCATGTACTCGTGTTAGCAAATTTGATGAAGCCCAAAGGAGTCGATAGATAACTTTTAAAAAATGTTTTCTATCTGTAATCTTATACATGTTTGTAGTTTCACCTTTTATTTTGTGCTTTTAAATTGCAGAATTAACCAGAAATCTTCTTGATTTGTTGTGATCAGGGTGCTTCTTCCTAAATTTATATAACTGCTACCTTTTCTTAGTTACTGTGCTGCCAGGGAAATTTTTCAACTCTCAGCTTGTGTTTTAGTCCTTTTCTCTTCTCCATTTCCTTTTAAAATGGGGATGATCCAATGCATTTCTTAAACACCTGACATACACAAGAGAGAAAGAGCACAGCCTATGTGTGTGCACAGTCATGGCAGTGAAATCACTGGGGTAAATTTATGCAGTTCTCTTGCATGGGAATGGTCATGTTTGATATTTGTTCACTCACAGGAACAGTCTTGATTTGTGCCATCTCTCCTCACTGATCGTATGAAGGTTTTAGCTTTGGTCAATGGTTACTTTAGTTATGTCACTGTTTGAGGCAGATTTCAAGACTGCTACTTTATTTCTACTGTCATAAGTTGAAATAAAGGAGATGAAAAACTTTGAAGGAGAGAACAGTAAAAAAATACTCCTCTCATAATGCAGCGCATTCTGGAGATGTGACTAGAAGATGAAAGCCTAGTTTTGATTTTAATTTTAAGAAAATGAATTAGTCTGAAATCTAAAATGTAGTTGCTGATACTTTATGGGCACAGTATTCTAAATTCATGCACCAGTTCTAGTCAGGGGAAGAATCCCTTCTCTTTCAGATCCCAGTTTTCTGGTGTGCAGCTGTGTAGGTCTCCAGATGCCATCCTATGAATTGAATGACCAGCATTGCTGTCTGCTTGCCAACCACTCTTAGTAAAGGAATGTACAAAAATAATGAATATAGGGTTTTGTAGATTTTCTTTTAGAATAACAGTATGTGTATACCCAGGTTCCCCATAATCTCTAACACTTCCATACTGCAATGTCTTTGCTTTATAAGATTAGAATCTCTATGCTAGCATCTCTTAAGAAGCAGAGGAAAACAATTTACTCAACTCTTACATGGTTAAATACTGGATATTCCAGGAGTCCAGTATCCTTTCTCCTCAAGCCTCTGCTTAGCTACTGTATTTTGAGAGGATGTGGTAATTTATTCCCTGATGCCTTTGTTCTCTTCTCATGTGTGTTGTTGTCAAGCAGTGACAACTTTGATTTGAATTGCAACTTCCATAACAACCTCTTTGAATATTGTTGACATTATTCAATGCTTTGGTTTCCCAAAAAATCTTTTACTTTCCCACCCTTTTTTTTTCTTTTTATTTGTGTAGTGGTTTAAATTTGCCGATTTTGTTTTCCCGGCCAATGCACCAGATAAATGTTGTGGTTTTAAAGCAGTAACTAAAAAAATTACTAGAAAACTTACTTATTTCTTGCTGTGAGATATCGATTAGAACAAGAGCAAAACAGGCTTAAAACTTAAAAGGAAATAAAGAAGGTTTATTAACAAAACTACAAGAATAAGAACACCAGAATAAACTTCCAGAAAACCCTTTTATCCCCCACTACCCAACCATTCCCCTGTACATGTGACCACATAGAGACAAAAAACTTTGGAACTTTGGTGTTTAAAACAGTCTCAATTCTTGCTAGAGTCTTTTCATCAGTCTTTGTAGAGAAACAGAAGCCTTCTTCTGTTAATCTATGGAGTTGCTCACAAGAAAACTATTTCTGTTATAGTTTTCCATTTGTCTAATGCCAGCTGCCTGGAAATCCTGTCATCAGTTTACTCTTCCCATTTCACATCACTCTGAGGTGTGTTATGGGTCATGAGTCTAGGGATGTCATTTTAAGGATGAGTTATTCAAAGGCAAAAGTTCTCTTCATCTGTCTCTGTGAGCTTAGCTGGGAGTTTTCTCATTGCCCTCAAGGCCTCAAATCTTCGCTTCACTCTGTTCCAGCACCTCACTGTATTACAATTACTCTCCCTTTTGCTCAAAAATCACACTTTGAACACTCCATTCCTCCCAATATACTCTGTCATGAATTAAAGGAGTTTTTTCAAAACACTATTGTCCATCTCTATAGCTTTAACAGAAAAATATTTCAGCTTAAAAAGCATCTCCTTATTCTCTCTTTTCTATTTAAAACTTAACTCCTTTCTTCACTGTCTTTTTCATGTTGATTGTCTCTCTCTCTCTGTCTCTCAGGGAAAAAAGGAGTAATCTGTACGTTTTATCTAGGTAGTAAAAGAATTAAAGTCTTGCAAAAGCTGCAGATGTTTATAGTGTCAGGTTTCAATACAGCAGCAGGAATTACAAACTTAGCCAAGCTGGCTGGCTCCTTTTCTCTCTCCCCCCCGGCCCCCCTGCGGCCTTGTCCGGCCTGGAGGGGGAGGAGGCCAAGACAGAGCCTTGTTACCTTGTCAGAAGCTGAAAACACAAAAGAGAGCAAGAGAACTCTGGCTTTACATCTTAAGGGGGTGTTCACAAGTTGATCTCACTTTTCAATGCTCAAAACTGCTGTCAATTCTTAGAAATGACCAATAATTGGTCAGGAGAAAAGACTTCCATCAGTCACCAGCAGCTTCAACTTCCTTAGCTCTCAAAACTATCTTAAAGGTAAAGTCACCCCATGACATTCCACCCCTTCAACTTGTGAACACCTACATAAAAATTATCAATTATATTTAATATACAACTTAATAAAACTAATAAATTGACAGAAAAGCAGAAACAAAAATTCACTACTTTCCACCCCTAGACTTTTACTATCACTGCTATATAAACTTAAGACAATCATGCTTTGCTCTTGAAAAGGCTGAAAAGCCTCATCAGCTTTTTTCTGATTCGTGATGTGAGAATTTGGTGGAATTATGTTTCTCTCAAGAATAGGGAAATTTTACTGATATGAAAACTGTGCTGTTTTTAAGCTAAAGGCAGACAATAATAAAAAGAGAGAAGGTGGAATTAAAGGAACTATGAAAAAAATAGTTAAGCCTTAATTATAAAAGGCAAATGCCACATCTTTTAGTACAGTGGTGTTCAGAGATGAGCTTCATTTCTCTTTTCAACATACTTAATCTTTCTCGACAGCCTTATAAAAGCTAAAAGAACCACTAAATATTGTTTTGCCTCTCTTCATGCAGAATGATCTGTTGGAGGAATCTGTCTCCTTCTCTGGTTGCCCTGTTTCATAAACTAGAGTGTGACTTTGTATAACACCAAAAATGCTAGAACTGCTGAACAGGGAATCAACCAAACTCTCCATTGCTTGCTTCTTTAGGTCCCATCAAAGGGTGGAAAAGAAACACTGTCCTTTGCCTGTTTTTTCAAACATTTTTTCCCTTTTGTTTACTATAATGATGCTGAAGTGACATCTGACAATATTCTGATGTGCTCTTCTTTGTTTCTGTAGGAGTTTTGTCTTTGCAGAGTAGTTCAAACCTAGTAGTTCAAGTTGCCTCTTGGTGCAGACAGTATGGTCCATTGAGCCCAGATGTTCACTCGTACTCTCTAGCAGGCATTACACACCTTTCTGCTCTCTCTCTGCAGGGGCCTTTTGAAACGGTATTATACATTTTGCAATGCTATTATATATTTGAACACCACTTCTAATTCCTAATTCAGATACAAGTCAGATTGGGAATCCTGTATTTATACAGGATTCAGAAGAAATTATATTTATTTATTCTCTGTTTCAGGAGACACTGAGAAGATTTTATGGACAATGGTTTGCTGCTTTGTCTATCTGTAATACTGTTTTAGTTTAGAAGAAACAAAACCAAAATAAAACAAATTACTAGAAAAGTAATTTTCCGTTTGGAGTCTGGGAACAGTTTTGGAATAAAGAGCAACATACACAACTTCCCTTTTTTTTTCTTTTTCCTTGACTGCAGTAACAAAGAACAATGTCTTTATGCCGTCAAGTTTCTGTGAACCCTCTACAGGCAATTCTGACTCAGAACCAGGTGAGCTTCCTCATTTTTCTTCGGTTTTCTTGAACTGTTGTTAATTTGTCATGATCCAAAGTACTCAGATACTTCAGAAGTAAGACCCTATTTGTGAGAATGGAAGTGATGATGGTTCTGATCTTAGAGCTGTTCTCTTGCTCACTTCATTGTTTGACTTCACCCTTCCTGGAAGTAATTAAAATCAAAATTGTTAAATGTGTTGGGAGTGATGGTATAATACTGCATTGTGACCCTTTCCTGCTAGCCTCATGATAAAACCTTTGGGAAATTCTCATGTATCTGCTTTGGAAAACTGTTCTTTTATATTGGAAAGCTAAACAACCATAAGGTATGGCCATGATTGTGTTCAGCTATGACCTGTGAGACCTGTGTTGACAGAACTGACAATTTTGTTAGTCTCCATAGTTCTGGTTTGGTTGTGTTGGTATCACTGTAGTGCACATCAGTATCATATGCTGATCACAAACACAGTGAGACTGTGAGATGTTGAATTGTCTTATTCTGAGTACAGATACTAAGCCCCTAAAAGGAAAAAAAGTATAATTATTCTTTGTAAGTTCTTAGGAACTCAATTTTTAATAGCTGTAGATTTATAATTTTTTTGAGGTTTTGGTAGTTAATTAAAAAACCATAACTAGTGAGTGCCAGCAAAGGAATTTCTTTTATCTTCATATTATAAAAGCATGAGTAAAAGCTTATTATTGCAAGAAACTGTCATTAAGCACTTAAGTTTAACTTAATTTATGATAATTAGCAGTTAGATACTTGTTAGCAACTGTTATGTTCAGTTATAATTTTGACTGCTCTTTCTTTAGTTTGATTCTCACTTAAAACCTTTATTATCTGTATCAAGTTCTTCACAGGAGGAGCCCCATTTCTCTTGTGAACAGTCTTTTTCCTGTTTCTTCTGAAAAACTTTTAAACTTTTTGGTTGTGACACCATGTGTTTGTGATGTATATTTGCTGTGATGATCACTGGAAATTCAGGTTTCTTTCAGAAGAGAATTTGGAAATCTCCTAATAACTTTTCGTATTTATAGAACTTGTGGGTTGTTACAGTGGGGAAAACATGAGGAATTTATGACTGAATGGATATTGCTAATATTGTAATGGCTTTGTCCTTGTGATTTTGTATTTCGCTTCCAGAGGAAAAGAGCAGTGGATTCCGGCTTAAGCCACCAATACTTATCCATGGTCAGGCACCTAGTGCAGGTGAGTTCACTGTTAACTGCAACAGTACAAAGAAACCAGCTCAAGCATTTTATTTAGTTAGAAGTTTCATAAATTGGCTATTGTAAATAGAAGGTGGCAATACCTATTTGTCTGCAGAAAAAAATATCTTCTCTAGGGTGGTTGTGCCCATACCCACTGTGTAATGAATATGGACACATCTGTGTTTTGGGATGGATCAGCTGTGCATGTCTGAAATGCATCTCCCAGCTGTCGCTGCTTAGCAAGCTTCTGTTTGTGCTTGGAGTAATCCTACAGACAGTGAATTCAATTCCTTTGGTAGCAAACTGTAAGAAAAAGGATGTTCCAGGAGTGCCTTGAGTAAGTTCCAGCTATTATTGAGTGTTCAGTCTGGGACCAGACCAGGGCAGGAAGTGTCAGAGAGTGCCCACTTCTGCCTTTGGTGGCAGTATAGGTGGCGGGTCCTTGATGATGCCTGTTCTGCACTACAGGTTGACTATGACTGAGTTTCCTGTTTTGTGATGTAGAACTAGCCACTATCAGAAAGATATTAGTATTAAAGCTCCTTAGGTATTTGAGTGGGGAAAAATAAACAAACCCAAAACTATTTGGGTAATGAAAGCTATTATTGCATAACTGTGTGGAAACTTCATTTCACTTGAAGGAAGAGGGGTAAATTTAAGAAGGGAACAAGCTGTTCTGAGCTTACGAACGTTTTGAACTTAGGATGTCATGCCCTTTGAATATAGGTGATCTGAAATGGAACTAATTGCTATAAGTGAGTTCTCTTGCAGTATTTTATTGGATCTAGAGTTCATCTTGACTATTTTCGGTGGAGAAAACTGAATCTTCTGGGCTTGCTATAGCCTTCTAGAGTTGATGTTACAATCTTTGGGGGTTTTTTTATTAGGTTGTTTAAGGTTAATTACCTTCTTGAATCATAGCATAATTAGAGTTGTAGTGCTGTGTATCTTACTATAACAACTAAAGAGGCCATGTTAATTCAAAAAGCCAAAAGGTTGTTAAATGACAACACAATTGTTACAGTACCAATATGTTTGATTGTATGGATTAAAAAAAATAGAATATTTTACTATCTGAAAACTACTTTATTGGAAGGAGAAAAGAAGACTTGGAGTGTGTAGTTGATTAAAATGTTAGTGCATAAATAGGATTACTGGTGTCCTGTTCATTTCTCTTACATACTGGCTTTTATTTCTGTATCAGTATTAAACTTCAGTTCTGTGCTTTTCTGGATAAGGTAGACAATATATTTTAAAGTGTCTTTTTAGGTTAGGAAATTGTCTTCCCTGTTTGGGACTAACTTACTTTTGAGGCTGAGTAATGAGGGATGGAAAAGAAGAGAGTAGAAGCTTTTCTAGTGTCTGATTTTTTCAAAGTATATTCTGTTGGAAGCAGTTAGAGAAGATTAGATGAAGCTGAATTTTCCAACTTTAAAGTTTTATACTTGAAAAAAACTTTGCACTTGCAGGTCTCCCTAGCCAGAAACCGAAGGAACAGCAGCGAAGTGTGCTCCGTCCAGCAGTTTTACAGGCACCACAGCCAAAAGCTTTCTCACAGATGGGTAAATAATGCTTTTGCATTCTAAATGCAGTGGAGAGAGAACAAAAATATTGAATTTGTTTAGTGTGGTGGTTTGGTTTTACTCAGTACCCACCTTGGTTTTTCTAGTTTTCTCCTTTCAGAAAAGAAACATCTTAAATGGTAAGTGTGTCTGTATTACATGAAGGATAACACAGTGGAACCTTCAGGTCTTGTGTAGGATGACTGTCTGATGTCGCTAGGCCTCTAACTTTGGTGTAGTCCATGCCTGAGTTTTGGAAAATAAAAAGACTTTTAAGAGTGTGGTATGTCAGTCTCAAATGATAGCACTAACTGTGGTGTAATAAGCTATTGCTGCTAATTGATCAACAGTAAGAGTCAGTGAGAGGTGCCTCCGGGTTTGGGGACTGTTTTGGAGATGGGACTTTGAAGTACAATTTTAATTCTGAACATAGAATTTTAGTTCTTAAGTTTGGTCATTCATATAATGTTTATTGCATAATGGAATTACAGAATTTGATATATCTGATGGAAATAGATATGATTAAAGTGTGGAAGTTAATGCAAAAAACTGTTTAAGGTGTCCCTGTCTCCTAAACCTCATGTTTCCCCAGCCCGATGCCATTTGTTATGTGGAAGTTTAGTTGAACAGAAACTGGAGTAACTTCAGATAATGTAGAATCTGGCATAGAACCAAGCATTTCTGTCTTGATTTCTTGATGTACCTCCTGACACGGATTTGACTTTACAGAGGACTTGGTATTGGGGTAAAAATTTTCAGTGGGACTTCAGTATATGAGCAGATAGATCAGTCTGAAGAAAAACCCTGCTGGCTGTGAACAGTATTAGATTGGAGCAGGATGATTGCTTGAAGTTGTATGTATTGAAGTCCATACAACATTTGTATAGATTAATTTGCTGACTTGATTTTCTTCATTTGGAATTCTGATTCTGCTAAGAATTGCTGAATTGTGGTCCTTACATCTCTTGCATACCTTTTAGTTGACATTGCAATGTTTAATGGACTTAAACAAGAAAATTGCATGCAATTTGCATAAGAAAGATTTTATGACAGTCTAAATATCTAGAAAGTTTGCGTATTTTTTTATTTCTGTGTTACAGTTCTCAGCAGTGGCACCAATGGTGTAAATATCCCCCCAGATTCTGCAGCCATATCAGAATCACCAAGTGATGCAACACTGAAAAGTTCCAACTCTGAAGACAAGGTGAGTTGGAGAAGAAGACTCAAGGTGACAGACATAAATATTCTCTGAACAGAGTAAAAAGCCAGTGGCAGTACTTGAATTCCCTACAGGAAGTGGACAGTGCAGGTAATGAGGGCCTGAGAAGCTTCACCTAGAGCAAAAGACATCTAAGTGCATTGGAAGTTGTTTATTGGCTATCATGAAAAAAAGGTAATGAAGTATTTACTTCCAGTTTTGTGTAGTGTGTCCAGTCCTTTTCTTCAGGTTTTGAGCTAACCATTAGCGCCTGAAGGTCTTGACTCATAGTATGAGGAGGATGTTTGGGGATTCTGAGTGTTACTGGGTTTTTTTGGAGCTTCATTAGGCAGTTGTTTGCTTTTTGTTGCCATACTGAGCATAGAAACAGTATTGATAAGACAAGAGTATGGAACAGTTTACTTGAAATTCAAGTCTTAATCCTGAATATGCAAGCAGAAATGCGTGTAGTGTGAATGGCTTTTTAAGGTTTAGTGAAAAGCTACTGCTACAACTAAGTATCATAAATAAACTGAATGCGTGTACCAGTATGAAAACTGTGGGACATGCTCGTAACCCAGGTGTGTATCATTGGGACACCCTCTATCTGCTTTTAACATCCTAAAGTCCTCTTAAGTTTTTTAATCAACTAACCTTGGAGAAAGTTTTCTGGTAGAGGAAAGCTCTTAAATCTGATTGGTAAGGATTTCTGGAAGCTCAGTATAAATTATATAAAGCTTCATAACTTCATAACATTTGCAATTTTGCCAAGTGTTGTGGGGAGATATTCTACTGCCTTGGCATTTGCAGTCAGTTTTGTCTCCCTGAAGCTTTCTAGCACAGCTAGAAGTCATTTGAGTTCATGCAATAGTTGTGTTAAATGCTGGAGTCTCTGCAGAATATTAGATGGCTTGGTGAGAGTGAAAGATTACTTCTGGAACTGTTTCATAGGATATGCATTGTATATTCAGATCTGTGGCATAGATTTGATGCACCACAGAGAGAGTGCTTCCTTGTGAGGGCAAGTGTGTTATTTGCAGTATTACATGAGCATGGTCTGCCTTTGTCAGAGCAGATGTGAGTCATGGTCTTATTTTGCTGTCAGAAAAGATTTTTCTTTGTGTCTTGTGCTTATACAAGGTAGCAGAGTGGGAACAGTCTCAGTCTGGTGGTTGTCATACCCTGAGCAGCTCTGTGGCAACTTCTACCTATCTGGTCTCTGTCTTGAAAATCCCTAGGAAACTATGGGAACCCTAAGCAGCATTGTCCTCAGGTGGGTACAAGCTGCAGCCTTTGATCCAACCATCCTCAACTGGTAGGAGAGTCTGGTGGCTAAAAGTCATCATTGGAAACTTGACAGCCCTCAGCCTTCCTAGTAGCAGGGAGATGCTGATCCTTATCCAGAGGGAAGAGGACCTGTGAAGGAAATCCTAGGCTAATGATGTTTCCTTGCATTCAGTAGAATGCTCCTTGTATAGAATACTCCATATATAGAATGCCCTATGTATCATTCAGTGGTGAAGGACTACTCCCAGTGATCAGTGCTGGCCTATTTCTAATTACAAGCAGAAAAACAACGTCTTTCAAATGCCAGAATTAGAATCTGAAGGCAAATGATACAGCTAGGTTATGCAAAGGTTGTCCCTCACACATAAAATGGGATTTTTGAAACTCTTGGACCTAATCTAGTGTTGTTTTCCTACTGCCTTCTCTGACCTATATGATATGTGCAGAAAGTACCATAGCTGGCACATGGGGGCACAACACCCTGCATTAGAAACTAACAGAAGAAATTGGAAATCTGTGTTAAGTGATGGTTCTGTAACCTCATTGGGATCATGGATACAGAAGGTTTACTTCGGCAGCTGCTTTAGATACCTCAGGGCCTTTTAGGAAATAAAGCAGGAAAGACCTTCAGGGGTGGGTTCTGGTATGCTAAAAGTAGCTTGAATTTTGAATGCAGAGGCTTTGTTTTGGGAAGGCAGTGAATTGGTCAAGGCTTTATAGATTGAGATCAGAGGGGAAGCCAGCAAAAAGGACATTAAAGTGAACCTTCACCAGACTTGGACTGATCAAGTAGAGAAAGTAACTAACACCCTTGGAGAACTAGAAGCTTCACAATTACAGGCCTTGATTCTAAAGGAGAACTTTAGTACTTGAACACCCAATAAAATGGTAACATGTCCTGGTAGAAATCCTCCAGAATACTCCTGGAGATTTTAGGAATAAGTTGATGAGAATATTTGCATATGCTGGGTAGGTTTACATGGGAGGTATTTAGCTGTATCTGGTATTCACAGCAAGCAACTGGCTAGAAATGCAAAGGTTGAGAGTTGCAGCATCAATGAGATGGAGTTTGAGATCCTGAAGGAACTAATAAGTAGCAGAATAAAGAACAAGACTTCAGGAGAAAAGACTTCAGGTTGTTCAGTGATCTGGTTGGTAGGATTCTGAAGAACTTCAAGGCTTATGAGAGCTCATTACCTCCATGGACAACCACCTCAGACAATGAATAATTTATTCCAAAGTGCATGAAATTGTGCAAGAGTTGCAGAAGACTAGCATGTATGGGCTGGGAGCTCATTAAATCCAGAAAGAGAATGTGCAATAACTAACGGAAACAGTCAAGACACCCGAGAAATATACAGAAGGATTGCCTGGATGTGTAGGAGAACTGTGAAAGCCCAAATTTGGCTGGAGCTGGAAATGACAGGGAATGAAAAGCTGCAAGCAAGGCTTCCACTGGTATTTGCAGCAAACATAAAATGAAGGAAAATTGCAGACCTTCTGCAAAATGTTAAAGGGAGCCTAGTGGTGAAAAAAAAAAAGAAAAAAATCTGAGGTACTCAGTGCCTTTGTCTTGTTTTCTAGTGAAGACATCTGCTGTCAGGTCTACCATGTCCCCTTCTTTAGGGGAAGTTTGAGGGAGTGAATTATTACAATAAATTTTTCTAAGGACTGTTTTAGACAGTTTGACATACACAGGTCCATGGCACCAGATAGGATGTATCCGTGGGTGTGGAGAGAGAGTCATAGTTTAACTCCAACTGGCAGCTAAGTACCATGGAGCCACTTGTTTACTCCCTCCACTCAGGTGGGATGGGGAGAAGAATCAGGGAAAAGGTAGTGGATTAAGATAAGAACAGTTATTTAAGTGTTGAAACTTAGAGTTTCAGAGTAAAAGAGTAAAGTACAATAATATTAATAATTTTAATGAAAAGGAGAGGGAGACAGATAAAACAGAAAGAAAAGAAGTGATATCCAGTATAGGTGATCAGCACCCAGTGACCTGTGTTGACCCTGTTTCCCAGCAGCAATCAGCCCCTCACCAGCAGCTCCCCCAGTTCACACACTGGGCAGAGTTTGGGTCAGCTGTCTGACCTTTGCTCCCCCCCAGCTTCTTGTGCAGTTCCTTGCTGGCTGAGCATGAGACACTGAAAAGTCCTTGACTTGGGGTGAGCACAACTGAGCCGCAACCAAAATATCAGTGTGTGTTCAAGATTATTCCCATCCTGGATCCAAAATGCAGTGTTGTACTGAGAAGAAAATTAACCCAAGACAGGGAGCCGGGGGTTGCTAGTATGGGACCACTACCTCTCCTCAGAGAGTTGTGGTACTGTGGTGGGTCCCAGTTACTGGGGGAGAAGTAACTTCTTTAAGAAAAAGGTTCCAGGAAAGTTGCTGTATATATTATATGACCCCCTTCATTCTCGTCCCCCGTAGAGATGTGTCCACCCTACACAGACCACGGGGGGGCAGAATCCTAGAATATATTCAGCATGAACTTGGGTATTTAGACAAAGGGGGCTCAGTCTTGAAGGATGTGGTCCTGGGTTTATTGTACGTGAATCACTCAGGGCAAGAAAAGAGATAGAAATGTCTTTAGCACTTGCTTTTAAACCAGGGGGGAAGGAGATAAGGGGGGGAGATTTTACAGCCAATAGGATCAAATGGAGGGGAGGGGGAGGTTTGGAAGGGACTAACATTATACAAAACCAAGGGTGTGTTCATCCTCAGGGACATACCATATATCTTAATGCACTGCAGCAGAAATTAGAAATGGCTCAGCTCTCAGCTCCTTCCTCTCCCTTTGGGGTGAAGTAGTCCTAGGATATGAGGCACTTTAAAGGGATTGAGAACAACCAGCATAGATAAAACGGAGACCAAGCTGATGGGTTTTTTATCCTCTGAGACTATTTGCTTTACAGCGGGCCCTACTTGTTGATTTTGACTTTAGGCAAGATCTTTGTATGGTCTGAAGTATCATTGCCGTAGCCAAAATGGAGAGGTGTACTGGTTGGGTAGTATTTAAAGTGAATGAAAAATTGGCTAAAGCCGTGAGCTTTGAGGGTAGCAGCCAGCAGTTAGAAGTCTGACAAGTGTCAGTCATTAGAGATTGTTTAGGACTGTTCAACATACACACAAACAACCTGGCAAGGTGGAATAAATCTTGTCAAGTTTGTGGATGCTAGTACATTGTGGGAAGGGGTCAACATGTTGGAAGGTAGGTGCTCTTCAGCATGATCTCAGCAGGTTGGAAAAAGAAGCTGAGAAAAACTAGCTGATGGTCAGCAAAATTCTGGGGTGAGAGGATCCATGTGTCACAAGGACTGAAGAGGGACTGGCTAGAAAGCAGCTGTGCAAACAAGTCTTGGAAATCGTGATACTTCAAGAAAGGTGTTGAGAAGTTCTAACATACAAAATTCAGTACCAGAACTATAGCCAATAGTATTGCTTCTAAGGGTGACGGTTACTTTATTTTGGAGGAAGGGAGATCAAAAAGGGGGAAAAAAGATCAAAAAATATCAAAAAGGGAAAACTTAACATTGGCCAGTCATAAAGACTAGTAATGGGTTCCCTAGACAGGCATCTTCCCTCTGAGTGTCCTCTCCAGTGGAGCAGGTGGTACCCCCTAATACTCTTCCCATAGTAACTATAGTTTTCTTCATAATATGCTCAGACTTCCTGTGGTTTTGGGTTTTTTTCTGCTTATGGTGCTGTTGATGCTGATGGAAGTGTGCCTTGCTGAGGGGCAACTGCTGTATGTGGGTCACTTCTGAGGATTTGTGTGTGCATAGTTGTTGGGTCTTCCCATCAGTGTCAAAAGCGATAGGGTAGGAAGTTAGGACAGATGCAGGAGGGAGTGATTCCCATGCAGGTTGCAATTGCTTTCCAGCACTGCTTTAGAGGTTTGTAAATGCAAGGCTCTGAGCATAGTGGAACAAGAACTATTGTATGGGAATAATCAGGAAAAGTGTCACCACACCATGTGCAGGGAGATGTCATGAAGGCACTTGTGGAAAGCAGGTGGCAGAGGTGCAGAATCGAAAGTCCTTTGGAGAACAAAAAGTTCAGGAACCTTCAGGTGCTGTGCAACAATGATGAACAATAGATTGAACATGAATATGTAGTGTATTCTTTTATTGATTAAGAGGACTTACGGGCTCCTTTACTAAAACTGCAGCCATTAAGTTCAGGAAACTGATCTTCCTCTTTTTGTGCCACTAGTGGATGGCATCAGGAATACCATATATAGTTTGGGGCTTGCAAGTACATGGAAGACACTTAAATATCACCGGGGGACTAGTGGCTGGAGCACAAGATGTGTGATGAGAGAATGAAAAAGCTGGGTGTGTTATGCTTGGACTAGGGTAGGGGAATAGGATTGTTCCCCTCAGCTCTCAAGTGGTAGGTGGTGGCAAGATTAGAATGAAATTATGAAGTGTCTATCAAACTGCAGGTGTGGTGTGAAGAGGATTACAGATGGGGTTTAGGACATAACTATCATACTTAGTGTTGTTGAACATTACCCAAACTACCAAAATGTAAAACTGTCATGTGGATTTGTTTGAAACTTGATATGAGATCTTGGGCAGCCTAATGTAAATTTGAACACAGTTTGGACCAAGTGATTTTTAGAAATTCCTTTGAACCTTAACTCTTCTGTGATTTGCTAAGAAAAACACTTAACAGAGATATTACTTAAATGCAAAATATGCCTTGTAGATCTGGAAGTGTTACTGGCTTGTCATTGTAAATGAGTGTGTGACTCACCTTGTCATGAGGTGTTTTTATTTAAAGAAACTCAGTATCTTAGGCTACATTTTTCTATTTCTTTAGGTACCACAATGTCAGAAAAAGGAGTCCAACAATACTTCAGATGATGACAGCTGTGAGAAGGCTGAACTAAATGCACACCAAGCATTTGTTTTTGGGCAAAATTTAAGAGATAGAGTTAAGGTAAGTACACATTTGTTCTCTTGACTTAGCGTTTATGAAGTACTGTGCAGCTGCTATATGAAAAGGCTAAAACCAAACCTTCATGTATATATGTAAAATTAAAAGCTATGAACACAGTAGTGTTGACTATTTAATAAAACTAGTCTTCTGGACATTTAATAAATGAATTCTGATAAATAGCATAAGAAGCTTTTTCGAAAATAAGTGCATCTACTGCAATCATGAGTAACAGCTAAAGCTCAGTAGAATGTGGTGTTTTCTCTTACAAAAACTTTTGGGTTAGAATGAAGTTGAAATGTGGTCCTAAGATGTTCCCATGCAACCAGGACTTCACAGAAAAGATGGAAAAACAGGCTGAGCTTGGGCTCAAACTTCTGCATAGAATAACTGAGTTGCATTGTTAGTATCTCCTGTTGAAGACAGGTTTGCTTAGATGTCCTAGCATAATAAAAGAAATTGTAATATTGGGCCATAGACTTATTTTGTCTTATTGTAGAAAGCATTTGTGGATAAAACTGTCTTTAGGAAGAATGAGTTGAAAAATTTGTGGTCAGTAATTAGAATTGTTGATATATACTTGTTTTTCTAGCTAGGAGATGAAAGCGATGAAACTACTGATGTGCAGAATGCTGGTCTTCTGACATCAGATATACCTTCTGCAACAAACTATTTTCTACAGTACATCAGTTCCAGGTGAGACTACAGGAAAACCAATAGAACAGTTCTTCTTAATCTTTATTGAGCATTCTTTATGGTTCTGCTCTTTATTAGATGCAGGGCTTAGAATGGGTCAGTGGGGACCCAGGCTTCTGAAGAATGAGATGGCAGTCTTCAGATCTGGGGGAATCCTCAATCATTTCATCAAGGGAGATGCATTTGATACTATTTATTTGACCACATCCTCACCAAAACCACTTCAGAAAACCAACAAGCATGACATGAGAAGTGTTCTCATGAATGAATAGAAACTGTGATGGACTAAATTTGAGCTACCAGTGGAATCTTGTGGAGATCTGCACTGTATTTGTGTTGTTTAGTAGGTTGCATATATGATACAGATAAAAAGGAAGAATAGTTAAATTTTTTTCATGATAGTAAGCTTTTCAGAGTGCTCTGTATGCATAAGTAGGAGCCTAAATGTGGAAGGTTTTTACGAGAACTTCTTATGAGGCAATAACTTCAGAAGAAATGTGTAGGTAAAGTGAGACAGTCAGGAGAAAACTGCTAATCCTGTCTTACGTAGTGATGAGCTCTGAGCTGAGAGCCTTCACTTGAGGCTAAGGTAGTGATACAGCTCTGAAAATGCTAGCTTAGTAGTGGTCAAAAAAATGAAGTAGTTTACAGAATGAGAAAACAGAAGACACAGCTCTGACATCAGGTAGTAACTGGGAAAGTGTGAGGAAAAATCCCACCAAGAGTGATGAAGCAAAGCAACATCTCTGCTCCTGTAGTAGGCTGATCATCAGATTGAAGCAATGAAATAATCGTAGGAAAAGTGCTGATACATGCTTTTTTTGTCCTTATATTTGGTATTTTTGTTCACTATGAAGGAGGCAGTAGGCAGTTTTGCAGTCAATGAACTTTTGATGCTGAGCTTTTCAGATGTTGCACTGGAGAGGCAGAGAACACCTTTGCCCTCTTGTTGCCAGATCAACATCTTTCCAATAGACAGAGTCAGACTTGTTCAGTCAGATTAGGCAAATAACTACTATTATGTGGCCTTCAAATACTGGAATATTTTTTTTCATATTTTTCAACTCATGACATCTACTGTCATTTCATTTGAGTCTTTACTTTGGGAGGACTTATTCATGGTGAGTCAATTGCCATAAACCTGTTTTTGGATACGTCTTTAAAAAAAATAGTGTCTCTAAGGGGAGTTGGCTCTGGTTTTCAGCTGAGATGGCAAAGCATTATGGTAATCAGCTTGTAAAAGGAAACTCCTCCCTTTGTGTAACACTGTCAATTCTTTGAAAACTGTAAATGTGCTAGTTGGGATTGGCTGCATTGAGTTTCCTGTCAATATTTGGAGCTCAGAACTGTGGTATTTAATTCCGTTAGTAGGTAAAGCTGTCTTCCACTGAGGATCTCCTTCATTCTAGCAATCTCCTTAATAAGAGGTAGCAACTCTACATGTACAGTTTAAAGGTTTGTTTGGTTTCACTTGAATCATGTAGATCATGTGAGTCCCCATTTTCCAAACTTGATGAAATGCACTTAGGCTTGATTCACAATGCCTTTTGTGTGTTCACTTTATGAGCAAGCTGGTGTTCTAGAAAGGTATGCCCGATGGGATACCTTCAACCAATCAGTCAACCATACCAATCCACCAACTTAAGTCTTTTGAGTCTGTTAAAGAATAAAACTCTTGTCCTTCCTAAATAGGATTCAAAACCTGTTCATAAAAATACTAATGGGAGGAGGATGTTTATTCTATAAGGAAGAAGTAAATGCTGAGATTTGATTGTGAAACTTCTTGGAGAGGCTGTGGTATTGCAGCAGTGTGACAAAAGGCATTACTTACTTACCTTTGCTACCTTTGCTTCAGTTATGATATTGGAAGTGCTTTTGTTTCAGTTCTTTCCCTTTCTGAGAGAATTGACCTAAAAATGTGTAGTAGTTCAAGTCTGTACATGTAGAATACTGTTAAAAAAAAGGTATGTTATATGATTAGACAATAAGCTTTCACTTAGCATTCAACATTGCTTTGTATGTTATAAGTTATCTGAAGGGGAAGATTTTTACAGGGACAAAATAATTTGCTGTCATTTGGAGAGAATTCTTGTTCTGTAAAACTAGGATGTGCTCTGGTGTTAATTTTTGCCTATGTTTGTGCCAACCAATGCTTACTTTTCTAAAGCCAGCGACCCTCACTTTCTGAGAAATTTTATTAGTAGAAAATAAGAGGTATTACTATCTGTCTTGTAAAACCTGCATTATTTCTTGGGTTTTTTTCAGTGTAGAGAACTCTACGAACAGTGCAGATGCGTCTAGCAACAAGTTTGTTTTTGGACAGAACATGAGTGAGCGAGTCCTAGTGAGTATCCACTATGTATGTGTCATAGTTTTGCCAGCAGTTTGTTATGGATTCTCACTCAGTAATTTTGAGAGCCTTTAATTATACCTGTCATTTGAACATGGGGGATTTTTCAGTGGTTTCCCTTGTAGGTAACTTAGTTTGAGTGTAGCACAGGAAGTTCATTATGAGCTGTTGACTGCCCAGCAATACTCTTCAGGATTTCCCTGCCAAACTCTCTAAATATAAGGAGAGTCAGTGGCCTCTCTGTAGTGCATGTGGTTCTTGTGCCCAAGCATTTTATGGCGCAGCTTGTTGCTTTAAATGGCTGTTGGAGTATAAGTATTAGAGGGTATTTTATGTTTGTCCTCAAAATTGAGAGCAGTTCAGTCATGTGACTCCCCCTGGGATGGGATTTCAAGCCCAGCAGTAAAGCAGCTGCCTCAGGACTGAGGTATGATTCTGGAAATACTCTTTATGATTACTGTTTATCAACCTAAGGTGTTGCACTACTTGTTGCTGTGGGATTTTGGTTTTTTTGGGGCTGTGTTCTCTTGGGATACGCTTTTATGAGGAGTTTTTTTATTTCAGTTTTGTTTTAGGAAAGATTCTCTAAAGGTTCATTTGCTTCTTGTTTCTCATGTTTATTAATATATATCAAAAGACTTGGCAGTCCTCCCTGGACTTCCGCTTAAGTTTAGCTCACTATTGCTTGGCTCAAGTTGGCTTGAAAAGCACAAAATGGCTTTGAAATACACAGCTCTTTTATCTTTATACTTATTTTTACCTAATTAACAACAGACACATAAATTATTTTTCTTAGTGACTCAATGACTTATCACTTGTATGTTGCATTGCAGTATGTTTTATCTAATCACTTACTGTTACTCAAAAACTTCTAGAAGAAGAAGATGGAGAAGAAAGAAGGAAAAGAGACAACACCTTAAATCCTCTATCTTGTGTTCTGTTCTCGAAACTAGCTTATACTCTAAACTTCAACTTTTTCACTCAGTGACTTAAGAAAACTCTTTAATTTACACACAGTTTTTCTATTTAACTTTAACAATTGTTTTCATGGTGTTATATAAAATTCACTGTTTTCTTGGATGTTAGAGCTAGGCATCAGAGATAAGGGCACACTGTGCCTCAGATTCTAACATAAGGAATAACTTTTAGTACCTCAGTGTTTCCAGCTGTTGTTTTTATTTCTGTGCTGAAGCAAAATGGAAACATTTAATGCTGAGCATTCAGACCGGTCTTAACTACCAAGCCAGGAGTTCAGTCAATTACGCCATGAGTAGCGGTAGTTGAAATTTACTTGCTGTGTTGAACAAAGCAAATCAAATAGCCTCAAAATTAGGATTGAAATTTTGTATCAGTTCAAGGGAAAATAATTTGAACTGGTTTTTAGGTCACATTCCATTTAGTTCCTTGGCTGAGGTAGTAGCATAACTTTGACTGTGAGAACATGTTGTCCATGAGATTTTTTTTTTTTGCTGTATGGCTTATAAATACTGGAGTTGCCCTCAGTACTTGATCACTAGTCTTGTTTAGCAGAATTAGTGTATGTTTTTTCTTTTCTGTTTACCTCCTCTTATTTCTGTGATAGAGTCCACCAAAATCAAATGAAGGTAGTACAGAGAGTAATAAGGAGAATGCTTCTACAGAGTCTGGGTCAGAATCGTCTTCTCAGGAGGCCACACCAGAAAAAGGTGAAAAACAAAATATTAGTAATGGTAGTTAATCCCTTTTTAAATTACTGTGTTTTTCAATATCCTGTTACTTTTCAAAAACATAAAATTTTTATGTTGCCTTTACTGTCTACTGTAACCAAAGATACAGGCTGGATGTGGAAGTTGCTAGATGCTAGATCCTCTAATATTAAACATGTACAGGCTTCACTGTCTTTTTCCTTGTCATTCTGTGGTAATATCGTCAACAGAATAAAATTAGAGGGAATTAACAGAACTGGTACTAAGACTTGGAAGAGAACATAGGAGAAATGTGTCAAACTTTTTTTTAAGTGACTGAATTTCTGAGTCAAATGTGTATTGCATTGAGTGGGTGCCCCACATGTTGCTTGAGCTCAGAACTGTTTGCTGGATTCTATGACTTCAAATTGTCAAGATACTATGTAAATTCTGGGAACTATGGATTTTCTTCATTAAGCTGCTTGCAAGGCCAAATGAAACTGGAAAACTAATTGCACTGTCCATGTGTAGGCACAGCTGTATGGCTGGCAAGAGTATCAGTACTGCTGAAATATCTACAGATAAGCAAGTGTATGCAAAGGTTTTGAACTATTGTGTGTAGGGACAAAACTTCTTGAGAACTTATCTCTTTTGTCCCTTATGCTTGTAAAACAAGTATTAAAAGACAAGCTTTAGCTTCAGCTTTAAATTTCAGTTCTTTTTTACATGTTCTATTTCAAGGTCTGTCTTCTGTACTTTTCAGAAGGTCTCAAAATCATGGGGTGTACTTGTGTGAGACCTTTATACATCGTATAAAATTTCATGCTAATCATTCTCAGACTCTCAAAATGTTGTTCAGCTAATAATATTTCAGAATCACTGGCAGAGTCTGCAGCAGCCTATACAAAAGCAACAGCAAGGAAGTGTTTATTAGCGAAGGTAGAAGTGATTACTGGGGAGGAAGCTGAAAGTAACGTGTTACAGGTAAGAAACTGATAGAGGAGTTTTGAGTTAGTGGGGATTTATATGGATGTCCCATGAATGCACACCATCTGATTCCCTACAACTCAGCCTTCCTCTATATCTCTAATGTATTTTCTTGTGTTAAAATGGAGACTTTCGATATTTATATCACATCCTTATTTATTAACTTGTTGTCCATTCTTTTTTAATTTCCTCTTTCTGAATAAATTTCAGCGTCTTAAGGATACGCCTGGATGGCTTATAAGGATTCTTTCCTGAATCCATCACATAGAAGCTTTTATTTTCTATGAGACAATTATTTGAAGAAAATTTAAATTAACTAAATATTTTTAAGTTCTTTAATTGTTGTACTACTGAAGATTTTCTAAAACTTGGAATGGACTATTTGTGCCAGCAGTCTAGTTTCTTGCAAAACAGAAACTATATCACAAACACTCAGGAATTGAGTTTGAGGTACTTAATTGAATTAGTGATGTTGTAGAATGATATTTGGTCATGACCTAGACTCCTGATTTTAATCATGATATATTTAGCATTGTAGTTATTCATTAACTTAAATATACTTACTAACTGCAGTATATCCTTTAGAAAAATATGCAGGGTTTTCATATAAAATAAAGTGGTGTATGTATTTTTTTCTCATCTCTCTTTATCTTCCAATTATAGCTTGTCTTTTTTATTGAGATATTTTGTTTCTCAGCATTTGAACAGTGTTATTTTCAAGGGTAGCTTTTTTATTCTTACAAACATGATGCTCTATTCTAACACCAAACAGTTGTACTATCAGTATCTAATGCCTATCAGTTATACTTGTATTATCTTACAAAATTATAATATTTATCTTCTTGTACTTGGTTTTACCAGACATAAACAACCTTTAAGTGGTTCTCGTGGTACATTTCTGTTTCTGTGTAATTCAGAAATGTCTGGATGCTTCACATAATTGAACAAGACACTGAAGAGATAAGAATCCTGTTTTAGTTAGTAAAACCACAACTTTTGGAAATTGTTTGTATATTTAATAGAGGACTGACTTGCATGAATATGTTGTAATTTAACACACCTCTTGCCTAACTTTAATTCTTTTTTTCTTATGAAATGTAATGCATTAAAATTCCAAATGGGACTCGTACAGACAGAACTATGTTAATGTTGCAGAAACATACAGTGCTAGATGTTTTGGGGTGAAGAAAATGAGAAGTGGAATGAATGAAAATGGAAGTATCTTTTCCACTTAGTGCATGCTCATCTGTGGGGAAGTTGAGGGGTGATGATTTGAGGTATAAAACCTCAGGAGTAACAGTGAAGTTGGATTAGAGAGGCAATACAGAGTAGAGATGTTTGGCACGGAAGAAAAAGTGAGCTTGTAAGTCAAAGAGGAGTATTCCTACTGTTTGAAAAAAATACATACGCTTTTTGAATTTTATAACCTATTAACCCTGCAAGGAGGCAGTAAAAATACCTCACTTATTAATGACTTTGTGTGGTTCAGGCTTTGGTAATGAATTGATAATGAGCTAACATGTTTGTTCATCCTTTGCTTCTTTACAGGAAGAATTTTGCTTTGCTGTCATTATATTTGCTGGGGCTTCCCAGCAGCAAATACCATCTTCAGTTGTGCAGTGTATACCTAAGGCCTTTAAAAGAACTGACTGACAAAAAGCAGTCTCTTAAGACATTAAGTTACCTCTGTGAAAGTTTCTATCTTACCTGAAAATTACTTGTTCATCATACATGTTTTGATCCTGAACCCTCTTATTCTGTAAGAATATATAGCTTCTTTTAATAAAACCTGATGAAAACAGACAGCATATTTTGAGAAATTTATTGTAAAAGAGAGGATGACTGTTTTGGTTTACACAGCTATAAACAATTTAAAATTTCAGTATGAAATCTGAATATTTTTTTAACCAGCTGTAGGTGACTAAGAAATATATGATTACTTAATCAACCACTATGCCATAGAGATATTTTCTGTAATGTATTTTCTATTACAGATTCAGTGCAAGCTGTTTGTATTTGATAAAAGTTCTCAGTCTTGGGTGGAAAGAGGTCGAGGGCTCCTGAGACTCAATGATATGGCCTCAGCAGATGATGGAACATTACAGTCTCGACTGGGTAAGGGGAAGCAGGGGAAATGAGATACTGGATGACAGTCATGCTATTTTTATAAGGTTCTTCCTTGACACCACAGCAACATTCACTTTAGTTTGTCTTAGCTCCAGCAGCTCAGAAGCAGTTTGGACTTTTTTTCTTTTGCTTCAGTTTGTGAATATTGCCTCCAAAGAGAGTATCTTCATACCCTTCTGTTGCGGCAGATGTTCTATTTATTTTGTTCCCCCATAAAAGAAAGCCATGTTTAGTAACTGAATATTTGCCTAGAAATTGATGGTAACATCATTCAGATCTGGCTGTTTTGGATGGGTTGCTTGTCCCCATCCAAATGGGTGTGGAGGAAGTCTGTTTGAATAGTGCGTGATTGTTCAGGTTGTCAAGAATGTGCATTAGCCTGAGATTATCTGCTCAGATACAACTGCTAAACTTTAATGTATTAGCATATAAGGCTTCAAACTAAATAGCTTTTGATGTCACTTATAATCTTTAATAGCCTTGTGCTTTAAGCCCAGACTGCAGTCAAGCCCCTTGCAGCTGCTTGCTCACTCCCCCTCCAGCAGGATCAGGGAGAGAATTGGAAGTGTATAAAAGTTAGAAGACTCGTGGGTTAAGATAAAGACAGTTCAATAAAGAAAGCAAAATGGGTGCATGCAAACAAAGCAAAACTAGAAATTAATTCACTGCTTCCTATGGGCAAGCAGGTGTTCATCCATCTCCAGGACAGCAGGATCCCATCACATGTAATGGTGATTTGAGAGGACAAATGTCATCACTCCAAACATCCTCCCTTCCTCTTTTTACCTCTCCTTTATGTCCTGAGCATGGTGTTATATGGTCTGGAATATTGCTTTGGTCAGTTTGGGTCACCTGTCCCACCTGTGTCTGCCCCTAACCTCCCATATACTCCCATCTTCCTCATCACTGTAGTAGTATGAAGGTAGTGTGAAAGGAGCAGAAAAGGCCTTGGCTCTGTGCAAGCACTGCTCAGCAATAACAAAAACACCTCTATATTATCAACTGTCTGTTCAGCATAAACCCAAAACACAGCTCCATACCAGTGATGGGGAAGAAAGTTAACTCTACTTCAGCCAAAACCAGCACAAGGCTACATTCTTCTCATTTACAGTTGTGTCAAAAGCCCAAGAGGGCTTATTTGTAGAAAGACTGAAACCTTTGTACAATAAAAAGTGTCTTGACTATTTTGAGCTTCTTGATGTGTCTTTTTCTACCTAACTGATCTTGTAACTTGGCTTTAGTGATGAGGACTCAGGGGAGTCTCAGGTTAATCTTAAATACCAAGCTCTGGGCTCAGATGCAGATTGATAAAGCCAGTGAGAAGAGTATCCGGATCACTGCCATGGATACAGAGGACCAAGGAGTTAAAGTTTTTCTTATATCAGTGAGTACTGTTTTTTGTTTGTGTCTTAACCGTCCTACTAAAGTTGGTGCATACTTAAACTATAGTTGAAGTAGCATTCACATTTTTCTTTGCACCCTACACTGTCTTTGCATCACCCCTGCCCCAAAGACAAGGCACTTGGAAGATTTGCTTGTCTAAAAAGTCTTGCTGGCTAGTCGTGAGCAAATGCTACATCAAAAGCTGCCCTAGGAAGCCAGGTTGTCCAAAGCATTGCCCATGGAGTCATGGGATCTTTTCCACACATATTGAGACTCTAGCTATAGTGTTTAATTTAGATTGTTTTCTGATTTAAGAAAAATGTGCATTGTTTCATAGATTTTATGCAGTAGTTTAACCAAAATTACTGGAACTTTCACCACAGGAAGCCTCTCATTGTCTGCCCTGCGGGAGGATGGATAGGTGTCCACTGGAAAGGAAACACTAATACTGTCAAAACCATCATATTAGTACTTAAGGGTTACACATTTTAACTTTGATTTTCTTTTGATGCAGGGTATTAAAGCAGTAACAGGATAGTGAAAGTGATTTCTGTGCTTGCTAAATGTGGAACAGCCATCCCAGTCAGAATTACTAAAACAGTCGGGATCTAATCATACAGTCAGCAAGAAAGGTTGTTCATTCCTTTAGCGCTTACAGATTTGGAGAGGTCTGAACACATTCTTTTGATTTATGCTGGTTCTACACAAGATGTTGCAAAAGAATTAGTGTTCCTGGGGATCAGAAACTGAGAGCATCAACAAATAGTCAGCTTTCCCTGTGGCGTTAGGTTTGTAGGGCTGGGATCTGGAGTCCCACAGTGGAACTTAATGATACCAAGTATGCATTGATGAAGAAAAATAAGTGAAATTATTGGATCAGTTTTTCTCCATATTTCTCTAGATTTGAAAGTTTTGAGTTAATCTGTCATCAGGTTATTCACTCTTGATTTTAGTATTGATACAAAGTATCTTGTTTGGAATTATTTTTTCATTTTAGTTCATTGCAGGGGAATTTTGCAGATACAGAGGTGAAAGATTCAAATGTCAGATGTGGTGGATGGAAGCTATTTTTTATGAAAGAATTTGACAGGTTGTCAAAAATGCTTCCCTCTGAAACAGAGATTCTTCAAAAAAAACCTGGAATGTTTGCCTGCCTGACTGTCCATTGAGTTTTCTCATTGTATCTCATATTGAAATTTTATGCCAGTGCTTCATGAAACAATTGGCTTGATAACAATTAACTAATGTGAGAAGTTGAATTATTGACAAGCCAGCAAAAATCTGCAAGATTTTAATTGAAGGTCTTTTTAATATGAGCTTTCGGGTGGTGTCAGGAAAGATGTGTGATTTCTTTGTGAAGAAGGCTGTATGAGATCAGCAACTACTGGGTATGTTAACCAGAGAAAGTCGGAGCTAAGCAGAGGAACATACTTTCACCACTAGAGTTCTGTATATCTAATGTCTTGCTGTGTGTACCACAGCCCATTCTCACTGGTTTGAAAAACACTTTGAGAAAAAGTATATTGTGAAATTTGGCGTAACTGGTGTCATTATGTCATTAATCCATTATGTCAGCAATGTTTCATTGTGTTACAATTCCATGCACCTTTTTCTTATTTCTGAATATTTAAAAATGCAGGCAAGCTCTAAAGATACAGGGCAGTTGTATGCTGCATTGCACCATCGGATCTTGGCCTTGCGCAGTAGAGTGGAACAAGAGCAAGAAGTCAAGAATGTAGCACCTGAGCCAGAGGTAACACAGTCAAATGAGGAAGACAGTGATGATGATGTCATTGCACCTTCAGGATCAGTTGGAAGTGGTAAGTAAGAAACAAAGGTGTTTCCTGTGTTCCATGCATTTTTCTGTGTCATTTCTTAATGCAGACTGTACTCTTTGTGTATGTCTATGGAGTAGGACTATTGCAAAGATTTCCTTTTTGAATGCAGCTACATCTTGCTTCCTCTCCAAACTGGTAAAAGGCTCCTGTGCTGCCTCTTGAGTTACATGCCACAGTTTAGCAGAGGTTTTCTGTGCTTTTTATCATATATAGGATTTCTTAGGGTGGTTCTGAGTTTCATTTTTGCCTTCATCATGGCCAAGAGTTGCACATAAAACCTGAGATGACTCTAGATCAGTAGACAGCATGCAAACTGACCTTTCAGTGGTGAGCTGTTTGGAAAGCAGAAGGGTTTACAAAGGGGTATGGAAGGAGTGTAATGTTTCTTTTTTCTGCATGAGGAGACCATAATTTAAGAAAAATACTAGTCTTCAGTTTGAGGAAGGCTTCCTTTTGTACTCTCAACTTGGAAGTCACCTGTGCTTTACTTTCTTGTGGCTGAGAACGTCCAGCCTTTGGCAGTCCTCCATCCTGATTCACAGAAGGGGAAAAAAAGAGGAATGAATATGAACAAAAGCAGTGGGAAGGTTGAAGAGGTTGGAAACTGAGCTTTTTAGGTTTTGGGATGCTGCAGGGATTCTTGAGCCAGATTAGTTAAGAATATAAAATTCTACAGTTGAAGAAGATATGCCTGGAGAAGGCATATGCAAGGTTGGGGTGGAGGAATTGTACAGTTCTCATCTCTCATTGAACACCTGGATCTGAGACTTATGTAGGCTGCTTGGGATGGGTCTCTTACGGCAAGGCAAGAAACAAAAGGTATTTCTGATGATCAAGAACTACTTTTATTGTTTCAGGTCCTAATGATGAAGGTGATGGGCAGAACACTGGCAGCACATAGCAGATGTGAGCCAATCTGCTTGCAAGGCTGCTATGAACACCATCTTGCAGGCGTCTCTGGATACCCCAGGCCAGCAATTACTTCAGGCGGTGTTGAAAGCTCCAAGACTTAAGAACTGTGCATCTCTGTTCTGTTTGTTTGGGTTTTTGGTCTGGATCAGTAGATTCCACACACAAAAAAAAAAAAAAAAAAAGCAGCAGACTTGGAAGCTACCTGAATGTGGTTTGGGACGTTGAAAGCTCATCATATTGATGAGCAAAAAAAAAAAAAAACAAAAAAACCAACCCTAAAACAACAAAAACACAAAATGCAACCACCCCCAACCATTTTCCCTCTTTCTTGTAATTAAAATGGCACATTACAGCTTGTCACAGCTTTTCATTGGGACCTTTTGGCTGTTTCTTCAGTAGTTCATGTCTTGCAGGTCTCCAAGATAGAACTTTTCAACACGGTTCCAACTTGAATTCTGCTTTTATAACCCCTACTCTCCTTTATGCAGGGAAACCTGGTTCTCATCAGCTCCTATGCTCACTGGCTGCCCTTTTGGGTTCCTTTTTTTTTTGTACTGCAGATGGGGCAGATTATGTTTTTACCTTTTAATCCCAACATAGGTTGTGGATGTGGACACCATTGTTTGCTGTCTAGTGGGTTTGTAAACAGAAAGAAAGAAAACATTGTGTTTCACCAGAAAAGCTTTTTTAATGTGATAATAAGAAACTTTAAAGTCTGCAGGATGTTTTGCTGACTCCTTTTTTCTTCCCATTTCATTATTATTTTTTGGGGATTTGTATTGTGGTGAGACTTTTTTATTTTAGCTTTTCAATAAGATGCTCTTGTGTGTTGAAAAAGTGAAATTATTGTTTTGTACTGTTCTTTTCTGTTACTATTTAAGGGAGAGCTAAGCCACTATATATAATAGATGTTGCATACAATTTTTCTTAGAAAATGTTACGTTTTTGTGGCTACAGTAAAATGCAGGAGGCATACAAATTACACCTTCAGAAAAGGTAATGACAAAACAGCTGTTAGCCCTTGGAAGAATAAAATAGGCTCTTGTAATGAGCTCTGCCAGCCATTAAAATAAATCTATATAATAAAGCAGCTCTCATGTAATGGCTTGATTCAACAAGCCATTTAAGCACTTGCCTGACTTAACTGTATGTGGATAATCTTACTGAAGTCAATGCAATTTTTCATGCTTAAAGTTGAGGACATTTTTAAATATCTTGCTGAATTAATGGCCTTAAATAGAAAATTTAACTTCTAACCCTTCCTGTCCCTATTCCATTTACTGAAGTCTTGCAGCATGAAGAAAAAGGTAATACTGCCAGCCTTGAGTAGTTTGGGCTAAAGGTTATTGTATTCTGTTCCACCACAAATAAAAGGAAGAATGTGTTTTTCTGTGTGAAATTCTGAAGTACACCAACTGTAACCATAACTCACTCTTTTTTTTTTTTTTTGTTTTGTGTGTTTTTTTAATCATTTGAGCCTTTTATGTGAAAGTTGTTTTATTTTCTTATTGAAACATATGCTATGTTCTTGTCCAGCAAGGTTGGAATTTGGTAGTCACCAGGTCACTTTCACTATAAATTCTCAAAATAATTTTATTTTCTTTATAAATAGTTTGCTGATAGATAGTTTCTGACTTTCATGCTTGCTCCTTTTTAGGTTAAGGATCTAAAATGCATCACCTAAAAGAAAATGAAAGGGGAAGAAGCATTTGATGTAGCATGAACTGAAAGCAGAAACCCAGGTTATAGCACAAAATCAACTTAGAAACTGAGTATTCAAATAGCAAAAAGTCTTTATTTCCTCTATTTTAATGAAACAAACTTTTCACTGGCAGTCAAGAACAAGCCTTCCCCTGTTTTCTGTTGTTAACCATCACTGAAGACTGATGCTCTTGGGACAGAGGGTGCTTTTACTTTCCGTGATAGCCAGTTGAAGGAACATCTGTGATTACTTTTCTGGCAATTGAAAAGGGCTAATGATAAGCTGTGCCACTGCATCCTGTTCTCTCTGGATTGTCCACTCATGCCTTCTTGCATTTTGGTTTTCTTTTTCCCTCCTTAGAGTTATGGGGCTTCTTACTGATGAACAGACCTATTGCTGCACCCCCTACTCTTGCCATGCTTCAACTGGAACATGGCAGGTTCCTTAGTACCCACCACACAATCGTTTCTGCATCACAAGGTCTGGGGACTTCTAAGTAAGTGATCTGCATTTTGGATCCGGGATCTTTTTACATAGTTGAGATACTCAGATTCAAACTACTCTTTTGAAACACCCTTGCACCATAAAGCTGTTTCTTGTCAGCACCTTGTTCATAAGGAAGTGTCTTGGCCAGCAGGGCCTACTAGGAAAACAGGCATTATTTCCTGGTTCCTAGGTCCCACATTTTCTATGGTGTCCATGCTGAATCTCTCTTTGAAGTGTTTTACCTAAAATGCAATTGATGGTGCATGAAGATTCAGAAAAATGGAATAAGAATGCTTGCTTTGGGGTTTGGTGGTACACAATCACCTACAGCTTTCTAAAAAATCTGGCAACTGTTTACTGATGCAGATATTATTTTTAGCTAGAAGCTTTGCATAAATGTTTATAGTGAAGGCAGAAATGTTGCTGTGTATCCCAACAAAATTGTGTTGCTGTGCATCCCAGCAGAATTGACAATGGGTTTCATTCAGGCTCTGCCCAGCAAGATAAGTTAGGCCAAAGCAAAATCCTGACTTAGCTCTCTGCTTTCAGCCTTAGTAAACCAGCGACAGGCAAAACCAGATAAATGCCCATGTGTCTCAAAAGATCTATGTAAGACTGCCATATCAAAAGGTACATGGGAATTACATTAAAACCTGTGTCAGCAAGTAAGCAAACAAAACACCCTGAGCCCTGTGTTGTATTTCCTGTACTGAGCAGCTGCTATTTGAGGGCTGTCCAGCTCTGCTGCCTTACAGCACTCTTCCCCTTAATCATGCTTCTGCTCCATCCTTCTCCTTTGGCCTCTTGTTAGCTTTTGTGTGGTGTTGACAATTCCTGTATAGCCTGTGTGGCTGCTGATCCACACAGGCACAGCCTTTCAGATTTCCAAGTGGAAAGAAAATACAGAAGAATGTAGTAAAGTTGAACATTCTTGCTGATAATTCAACAGTGTACTCTGGCAACCAGGAGTACCAGCTATGTCCTGGTGTGACATTTGGCACAGCCAAATGAAGGAGGGGATTGTGTCTCTCTGCTCTGCACTGGGGCAGTCTCACCTTGAATTCTGGGGGCACCACAGTATAAAAAAGACATTAAGCTAATAGTGAGTGTCCAAAGAAGGGCTGCAAGTATGGGGAAGGGTCTAGAGGGGAAGCCACATGAAGAACTGCTGCATGAACTGCTGAGGGCACCTGGTTTGTTCAGCCTGGAGAAGGAGAGACTGAGGAGAGAGCCCAATGCAGTCTTCAGCCTCCTCATGAGGGGCAGGTACCAGTCTCTAACTCTCATGACCAATGACAGAGCTTGAGGAAACAGCATCAATCTGAGTCAGGGGAGGTTTAGCTTGGATATCAGGAAGTTTTTCACCCAGAGGGTGATTGTAGAACCTGGAGCAGGCTCCTCAGGACAGTGGTCACTGCACCAGGTCTGAGTTGAAGAAGCATTTGGACAATGCTCTTAGTCCATAATCCCATAGAGTGGAATTATTAGGGTGCCCTGTGCAGGGCCAGGATCTAGACTTGATGATCCTGATGGGTCCCTTCCAACTGAGTGTGCTCTATGATTTTATGAAAATGTTGCTAGAATGGTGATGTCACTGAAACCTGAAGTAAGCCTCTTATCCATAGAAGGAAAATATGACACCCACAGGAAATACAAATATTAAGGTAAGAGAATGTTATCATTGCATCATCTTTCTGTAGTCCAGTTTCCCATGCATGATGCATTGCTTTAGAGAAGACAGGACAGGAAATTATCTACATAAATGAGTCCTCAGCCATCCTGCACTAGAACTAGGATGGGAGGTGACCAGATTCTTAGAAATCTGCAGGAATTAAACCCCTCCAACTTTATAATGGCTCCTTTCTGTTCCCTGAAGTATCAATTGATGGTATTGCTTGGGTATTACTGCCATTAGATGACTGTTCCTAATATGTCCCCTTCTGCAGTTCAACTGGTCTCTTGCTCTCCCAGTGAGTGTAGAAAATGGATTATTTACTTTCTAAAAACATGCTGCATATTTCAAAATTTACCGTGTTTCCCATAATCTTCTCTAGTTTTAGGAATTCCAGTTATGATAATTGCCATAATTTGTCACACATGATTTCATTAAACTGACTTTTCACTGTGTGCTTTTTCTCCCGGTGTTACTTGGTGTTTCTGTGCACTGACTGGCTCAAATTGAACTCTAGTCCATTGTGTTGGTAGCAGATTTTCAGACAGGATGTTATAAAGATGCTTTAATTTTTTTTAAAGGGTTTCTTTTTTTCCCTCCTGTGAAATCAGCACAGACCAGCACAGGTACAAGAGAGAGCTGCTAAATCAGACAAAGTCAGTCACGATTCTTTTGTGCTAGGTGAAAGTAGAGGTATCTCATTAAGAAATGCTTACCAATAATTTCTGTAAATAAAAGTCTCATTTGAAGATTGTATTCAGAGCTCCCTTTTGGCTACCTCCTTTCAAGGACTCCTTTCCAAAACTCTATGGCTTTTGTATCTTTACAAAAGGAAAATTTGTCACTGAGAACACGGGTAATTCTGTTGCATGGGTGGGAAGTGAATGCCTTTTCCAAGGTTATTTTAAGTAAACCACCCCGATCAAATTCTGGTAGCTTACCTTCAGCTTTTAATGAAACTGGAAAAGCCAAGTGGTGATGTTATGTTTGATTTCCTCCTGTTGCAGAGACCAGGAGCTGTCGTTGAGCCCCCACTGCAGGGTGTCTGCTGCTGGTAACATGTACCTGAGCATCCATGTGCTGACTGTACACTGTGTTCTGAAAAATAGCTTGCTGTCTGTAGTCCATTTAGCAGACAAGATAAATTCCAGTTCCAGAGAATTCAGAACACAACTTCTGCTGCAGACAGGAGATTCATTGGACAAGGCCCTACAAAAAGCTCCTGAGAAGGAAGGATGGGGAAATGCTTTGAATGCAATTTGCTGGTGGATGGTTCTTCCATTTCTGAAAAGGTTTTAGAGATAGGAGCCCCAGTTATCTGCAGCTTATAGTATGATGGCAATCCCTCCCTCTGTTTAAAGGAACTAATATTCTGTATCAGCAAGTTTTCTTATCAGCAGTAAAAATATTTGGAACCAAGTTAGCGTTTTAAGAGTAATTTTACATTAATTATGCTTTGCTTTCCCTGGAACTTGCCTGTTTAAAGTAAGGTAACTGTTTCCTCCTATTGTAATAGCTCACTGAACAGCATTGACTGCCTGGGGATGATCTGCAGCCCAAGGACGTGTATACTCTGATACACATACCAGCTACCTGAAGTGTGGTAAGGTTAGCTGCAGTCTGTCATGAGGCAGGTGGAAAGCTGAACACACCAGGGTGCTGAGGCTTGCAGGTACAGGCATTGTACCTGCTGCAGAGTAGAAGAGATATGAATTCTCTGTCCTACCTCTCTTGTTGGTGGAAGAAGCATTATGAATCTACTGCATGGGGTGTGGCCTCAGAAGAGCTTTTAACAGCTGCGTGGATCCCAGAAAAATTGTTACTTAATTGTGTAGAGTCTTTCCCTGTGCAAGATTCAGTGTCTTCTGTATGTTAATATTGGGGATAGAGCATTTGCAGCGTGTGCCACCCTGCAGCTGAGTGTTTTCTCCGTCCTACTGTCTGGAAGGGTCACACAGCCCTCCATCCAATGTGCTTAGGAAGAGCTTTGGAGAACGGGCAAAGCTGTTCTAAAAGATGCTTCCTTTATTAAGGCACTAGTGAGTGCCCGATGGTGGCATTGGTTCTATGTGTAAGGACAGCAAGCTGTCTGGGATGCAGAAGAAGCAGTGCCCAAGCTGAGGGACAGTGGAAGGCCCTCTGTTGTGAATACACTCCACACCAGGTCCTCCTGGCGCTGAGACAGCTCTAGAAAGGAGGGGATTTGCCTGACATGTTGTGAGCACACCCCAGCACATCTCCCATGTGCTGCAGCCTAGCGCAATTGCCAAACCCTGGCCATGCCCCTTCTGCCCTGCTGCCAGGGGTTGTGAAGCCCTGACTTTACTGCTAGCAGGATACAGCGCTACAGAAAATTCCTTTGGATAACAGAGCAGTAGCATCCAACTTCAGCTGTTTTGAGCTCCTGTTGCGGAGAAGAGTTACTGGGTAGGACTCAGCATACTGAAAAATGCAGAAGTCAAGTATTTAATATGCAGGGAAAAGAGGTAGGAGAGAGAGCTTGAGCTAAGAACAATACAGTTGAAGACTTCTTCACTCAGATCTTCGAGTTATTTCAAGAGTCTGCA